CTCTAACAATGTCCATTCTCGTAGAGTCTCAACTGACTCCTGTCGCTGTTGTTCATAAATCCACCTTTTGTAACGAGTAATCATGCTTTCTGTTAACTTTGTTAACAACAGAGCATAGAGACATCCATCTCCTAATTCCTCTACTTTGTCAGCCTCTCGAAAACTAACTACTGCAATGTCCAACAGGTCAGCAAATTTGTCTAAATCCTTTGCATTTCCAGGACTCAATGGTTTGAAGTTAGATATTTCCTCTAACTTTAAGGCAATCTGTCTTCTTTTGCCCCCATATTTTCTTTCAAGTCGTTCTAAGGCAATGTCATAAACAGCAGCGCTATGCCCTAGTTTTGCAATAAGCTGAGCTGCTTCTCCAGATAGGTATTGTTTCAATTGAAGCAGCTTATATTCATTGCTGGCAGGCTCTATCGACACAGGCCATGAAGGCTGCTTTCCACCCTTCATATTCTACTACTTTGCCTGAGAAAATAGGAATAGACACTCGCTTAAGTTGTCTCCATAAATCGCCACCAATAGTTGGCCACGTTGTTCTAACATGTGGTCTGTCAGGAAGCATAGAGTTTGCTGACTCTCGATATTCTGCAGTGTGTTCATGATTATGTCTGGCATTGTCCCTATTCGAACTATCTACCGGTTTCATCTGTTCATCACTCTGTCCATTTTATTGGAACCCACTTCCACTTCATTTTCTTGTTTCTGTGGACTGGAATTGTGACTAACATGCTGTGACTGTGAATGTGCATTGCCCTCGAGCGAAACAACCTTGAAATGCCACTCATGACAGATCTGACAGAACTTGTCTCTAGTGTATGTTTTAAAAACAAATTAGCCTGCTCAATAGCAGCGTCAGTTTCGCATTCAACTGCTTCTAATTCTTGTTTTGTTTTCTTGAACAGATCAACCTCACCAGACTCACTATAAGCTATTGACACTTCACAGATGACATTAATAGCTTTACTCTGTAGAACACTTACCTGATTTATCATGTCCCTCACTGCATGTCGAGAGGGCAGCTCTTCTTCTATTAGCCTCAGCAATTTATTTTTTACTTTTGTAAGAGACGTTTTGGCAGCTGCTTTTTGCTTTTTAATTTCAAAAGTTTCAACTCACTACCTGTAGGATTCATGGGTGATGCTTCTTCCTGTTTACTTTATGAGTAACGACATATTGAACCCACTCAAGATGTGTTAACGTTACCACCAATCAGCAAATACAATACAAAATAACAACTTCACAATCAAAATACTAAGTACCAATCTGTCAACACACGACAGACTAATACCAAACTAAACTGAATTGAACTAATTCTAACCACGCTCTGCTACCATTTTTGTTCTGACGCTTTTTGTGGAAACGTAAATTTGCTAATTTAATCTAATGAACTAAACGTGATAACACTTATTGTCTACAATGTAAAACTGAGGAACTAAACGTATTAACAATTATTTCTAATGAGGAACTGAAGAACTAAATATGATAACACTTATGGGTAAAAAACGAATGTGTGAAGAACTAACTGAATGTGTAAACTTTTGCGTTGAAGAATTGCTTAGAATTTATCTAATTTCACTAACCCCTAGTATAAATTCTAACTCTATTAAAGAACCACTAAACTTTGTTTTTTGTAACTCTTTTGACCATTACATATGAAAGATTTGTGGTTAGTCTTATGCGGAACACCAAATTTATTCTTTAAAAACTTGTGGTTAATTAATACCGAGCGATTAAAAGTGGCCAAAAAGTCGCCTGCTTCCCTCTCGCCCGCCAACGAAACCACAGACAGGTTATGTAACTCTGTCGCCAGAGCACTGCAGTGACGTCATATGAGGAACGATTTTCAGTTAGTTGTATGGAAAGTGTGTAGCACGCTCATCATTTTGATGATTTCTAGACATGAACGACGACATGCCGAATCGTTGCTCTGTCAGTCAATTGCTCCTAGGGGTCGGGTGATGGTGTCACCATGCACAGATTTCCACAGGACCCCCTCAGCGGTTCGTGCTAAATGGGTTATGTTTGTGAGTGCGGTTTAGCGGCGTTGTGGAAGCCTGAAACGATATCTTACTTGTGTTCAGATCGCTTCACGGAAGTTACAGAATCAAAACTACTTACTAGTTATAGTAAAATATGTATATGATTGATGACCATAAATATTTTCCATAACACAACTTGTAATTTTAACATAACGATTTCTTCCTCGAAGTGAGGTTGTGGTCGGTAACAATAATATTGTAAGTAGTATTATATTGACACCCACCTAAGCTGCCAGAGAGAAATTGTTATGTTATATCGCTATGTCATGCAAAATCCTATTGGCCATCAATAAAACACATATTTTACTACCAGTAGAAAGTAGTTTTGATTTTGTAACTCGGTGAAAACAAACCTAAATAGCATTTATCCACAGACTGGCGGATGTTCCCGACAGGCTACCATTTTTGAAAATCGTAAAATCTGTTAGAATTAATGAGATTATAGTTTGTTTTCATCAAGTTAGAAAATCAAAACTACTTTCTACTCAGAGTTAAATATGTATTGGAATCATAACCAAAAGGATTTTGCATGACACAACTTATAACATAACGATTTCTTCCACGGAAGCGAAGGTGGGGGTCGAAGTCACAATACTGCGCGATAAATTTCTTGCTACATTCACATGGTTAATGTCCACTCACCAGTATGTAGATACTAGTCAATGTGCGTCTTTATATTTGGTTTTATAATCCTAATTAGTTTATTATCATACTTTTATGCATTTTGAAACTAAATAAAAGCTGACGATCTGCTGATACTTATAGTGAATTTATAACAGAACTGTAATATCTAGACATTTTATAGTTTGCCAATGTGAATCATAATTCGCACACATACCCTAGTGTATGTTGTCTGTCTCATTACACTTCACGGCGAAAAACAATGATTCTGTTGAATGCTACGACAAAAAGAATAAAAACAAAATGCAAATATTAAAACTAAAACAGATTAAAGTTATAGGAACAATATCAGGCCATTACCTTGTTTGAGGAATGTATCCATCAATATCCACAAAACTGTTCCAAATGATGTGTCTTTTAACAGTTTAATATACTGAAAAGTGATAAATCTTTTCAGGTATTGGTGTATAGTCTCATTGGTCACCCAAGATAGCACACCTGGCAACTAATTGCATAATGTCCGCCTTTCATTAAAAACAGTAATTTAGTTAGCCAATAATGGGAATCAATCAATGTATTGCGGGTTAATCCTTTGAAAGAAGGGCGTTGTTTTACGCAGAACACCGACTACGGCAGAGTGTATTCAGTATAGATTAGTAAATCTACATACATAAACACTACCTTTTGACAAATCCGCTGTGTAAGATAAAAGTAATTAATCAATCAGCGTGTTATCGGTTAATCCTTTGATCGATGTTTATAATGTTGAATATTTACTCCAGACACAAGAAATGCCAAATGGGAACCTTTGTCGGGTAATCTAAGTGTGTTACCACTAATTATACCTGTTATAAATTCATGAACTGACCATCAAGTGAATGATGACAAATAACATGTGTAGGTTTATACCACCAAACACGGGTTACAACAAGGGAGTATTAATTGCTGTATTGCATGTGAAAACGACACTGTTTTGAGAATACAAACAGATTTTTACATGACATGATTAAATATCGAGGTAAAAAAACACAGAAATGGGATCAATTTGGATCAGTCATTATACAAATAGGGCCTAACGACACCAATCAATTGTGACAGAAGCGTCTATGAAAACAAGTTGTAACTCGAAACTAGGCAAAGCAGGAGACAAAAGTAAATGCCAGTAGATTGTGAGAACATATAGCTTTCATTTTCCACAACAATTGTCACGATTTCAGGTTTATACAAGCCTGTAAACAAGATAATTTACCCCTAAAATGTAGATGAATTCTGCATCGGGCCCTCAAAGCTATTCCTCATATGACGTCACAGAGTCGCGCCGCTCTGATTGGTTGAAATTTCGTTCGCGGGTGAGAATTGTGCACTGTTGTCAAAAAGGTCGATTTAAGTCAATTAAAGGTCGAAATGAGTAGTTTTAATGACGGGGTTTCATTTATAAGGATGCCAGTTAGTGATTTATGTATTTTTACCCCCTAGGGTTTATGTGACCTTTAATGTTCAAAACCCGACTAATACTAAACTAATCTAGCCTCTAACTTCCTTTACTAACTAAACCCCACTGATTGTCTAATCTAATTTATGAATATCTAACAACTGACTGACTTTCCAACCTAACTCTAAATTGAAAACCGAAAATTGAATTCAAATTCTAACATGAAATCTGGAAGCGTGTCTAGTTCACTCGCAGGCAAATCTCGTGCAGTCAGTGTCTATGCGTTTCCATGATTGTTTTTAAATTCCATAAACACTAACTGAACGAGATGCGTTTGAGTGAACTCTCCCGAACAGGCGGTCTGTAAATAATCAAGTCTGGAGTGGACAATCCAGTGATTAAGAGCATGAGCATGAGCATCGATCTGCGCAATTGGAATATGATGACATGTCAACCAAGCCAGCGGTCCTGACCACCCGATCCCGATAATCGCCTCTTATGACAAACATGGGTTGCTGAAGACCAGTTCTTGCCCGGATCTTCACAGGTTTTATGTTTGAATAAAAAATGTATGAATACATAAGTGTACCATCATATCAAGCGTAGTTTGCTGTAAAATTGTAAAACAGAAACTTGTGGAATAATTTCTTTATGAGAAAAACAGTCCTACTAGTCAAATTTATTCTATTGTTCGGTGGGGCGGTGGTTAAAGTGTTCGCTTGTCACACTGAAAACCTGGGTTCGAGTCCCCACATGAGTACAATGTGTGAAGCCCTTTTCATGGTGTCCCCTGCTGTGATATTGCTGGAATATTGCTAAAAGCGGCGTAAAACTAAACTCACTCACTCACTCATTCACTATTGTTTGTGTTACAATTTATGGTTGTTATGATTTTCCAGTGTGTTAATAATTGATGAGGCCCACGAGCGGACCCTTCACACGGATGTACTGTTCGGTTTGGTCAAGGACATCTCAAGGTTTCGACCAGATCTCAAACTTCTGATTTCTAGTGCAACACTTGATGCTCAGAAGTTTTCAGAGGTTTGTCCCCATGTTCAAACGCTTATTTCTTAAATACCAGTTGTAGTGACTCTTTTAGTTAAATCATCCTCGGGCACACTTGCAAAAAGTTGTCACAATGTTTATTTGAACCAAGAAATGGTAATAACTTCAAGGGGTTAGAGAGGTAGCCTAGTGGTTAAAGCGTTCACTCGTCACGCCGAAGGCCAGGTTCGATTTCCCACATAGGCACTATGTGCGAAGCCCATTTCTAGTGTCCCCAGCCGGATATTGCTGGAATATTGCTAAAAGCGGCGTAAAACTAAACTCACTCACTCACTAATAGCTTCAAGCCTGTACATAATAACAGTTTCAAACGAATGAAGCTACAAAAGTCAATGTGCATTTCTGAAACCTTTTCAATTTTACTCAAAAGGAGTTCAAATACCTTTTTCATTTCCATTTCAGTTTTTTGATGATGCGCCAATATTCCGGATTCCTGGCAGAAGGTTTCCTGTCCATATCTTCTACACTAAGGTAAGATTCTGATACACTGGATACAAGCTGAGAAATGATTTTCTGCTTCTGTTTAGTGTATAATCCTGTTTGGGATAACTGGTTTCACCATCAGTCACCAGATATTGGTTTGGGCAATATCTTTGATGAGACAAAGATCCGGGCATCATCAGTTGTCCCTGAAGTGTTATAGAGGGTGGAACCAGACCACAAACTGGACATATTCAGCATCATGGGATTTTGTGATCATAAGCTCATCATGTTGAAACGTGAGGTTCAATTCCCCACTCACTCACTCACTCACTCACTCACTCACTCACTCACTCACTCACTCACTCACTCACTCACTCACTCCTCACTCACTCACTCACTCACTCACTCACTCACTCACTCACTCACTCACTCACTCACTCACTCACTCACTCACTCACTCACTCACTCACCTCAACTCATTTATATCTCATCTCACATCACCTCTCACCTTACACACCTCACTCTCTCACCCCACTTACTCACACATTATTAAAGAAAGCCAGTACCTCGAGCTTGTCGCAAGACCAGTCGAACATGTGATTTTGGAATGCTGATTCTGTGTGTTTGGTGCCAGGCATCCGGTGACGTTGACCAAGCTGTCAGTCATTGGTTTGTTTACTTGACATTTAACACAGGCTGCTGAGGTAGCTAGAATATGTGGAGTTAAACAACAAATCTGTTTTGAAGTAGTTGAATGAGTCATCTCCCTTGATCTGCTGCAGGCTCCTGAGGCGGACTACCTGGATGCAGTGGTGGTGTCGGTGCTGCAGATCCATGTCACACAATCCCCTGGGGACATCCTTGTCTTCCTCACAGGGCAGGAGGAGATCGAGACAGCGCAGGAAATGTTGACGGTATGTGTGGCACGTGTGCTGTTAGGTATCAGTAGGCATGTGTACATGTGTTGTTAAGTATCAGTAGGCATGTGTACATTTGTTGTTAGGTATCAGTAGGCATGCGTACATGTATTGTTAGGTATCGGTAAGCATGTGTACATGTGTTGTTAGGTATCGGTAGGTGTGTGGACATGTGTTGTTACGTAACCATAGTCATGTGTACATGTGTTGTAAGGTATCAGTAGTCATGTGTACATATGTTATGTATCGGTAGGCATGTGGACATGTGGTGTTAAGTATCAGTATGAATGTGGACATGGGTTCTTAGGTACCAGTAGGCATGTGTTGTAAGGTATCAGTAGGCATGTGTACCTGTGTTGTTAGGAATCAGTAGGCATTTTTTGTTAGGTATCAGTAGGCATGTGTAGTTAGGTATCAGTAGACATGTGTGTTGTTAGGTATCAGTAGGCATGTATAAATTTGTTGTTAGGTATCAGTAGGCATGTGTAAATGTGTGTTAGGTATTAGTAGACATGTGTTCTTAGGTACCAGTAGGCATGTGTTGTGAGGTATCAGTAGGCATGTGTACATGTGTTGTTAGATCTCAGTAGGCATGTGTACATGTGTTGTTAGGTATCAGTAGGCACATGTACCATTGTTGGTAAGGTTCAGAAACATGGCGTCCTTTAAATGCAGGAAGGCCTTTTATATTGTGTGTCCTTTCAGTCATAATGTGTAGGCGAAGATGTATCAATGACTTTCACATAGAGTATGGAAAGAGTTAGACAGATTCCCTAGACACATATTATCAACAAGAAGAATTCCTTCCTGTCAATGTCTGTACCTTATAACTTCAGGAAAGAACAAGGAAACTGGGGTCAAAGATCAAGGAGTTGGTGATTCTTCCGATATACTCCAATCTACCCTCTGAGATGCAGGCCAAGATATTCGAACCCACACCACCAGGGGGCAGGAAGGTAGGTGCAGTGCTTGCCAGAGTTGTCTCCCTTTTGTAGTATACATACTCATGATGCAAGCCAAGGTATTCGAACCCACACCACCAGGGGGCAGGAAGGTAGGTGCAGTGCTTGCCAGAGTTGTCTCCCTTTTGTAGTATACACACTCATGATGCAAGCCAAGGTATTCGAACCCACACCACCAGGGGGCAGGAAGGTAGGTGCAGTGCTTGCCAGAGTTGTCTCCCTTTTGTAGTATACACACTCATGATGCAAGCCAAGGTATTCGAACCCACACCACCAGGGGGCAGGAAGGTAGGTGCAGTGCTTGCCAGAGTTGTCTCCCTTTTGTAGTATACACACTCATGATGCAGGCCAAGGTATTCGAACCCACACCACCAGGGGGCAGGAAGGTAGGTGCAGTGCTTGCCAGAGTTGTCTCCCTTTTGTAGTATACACACTCATGATGCAGGCCAAGGTATTCGAACCCACACCACCAGGGGCAGGAAGGTAGGTGCAGTGCTTGCCAGAGTTGTCTCCCTTTTGTGGTATACACACTCATGATGCAAGGCCAAGGTATTCTGAACCCACACCACCAGGGGGCAGGAAGGTAGGTGCAGTGCTTGCCAGAGTTGTCTCCCTTTTTGTAGTATACACACCTCATGATGCAAGCCAAGGTATTCGAACCCACACCACCAGGGGGCAGGAAGGTAGGTGCAGTGCTTGCCAGAGTTGTCTCCCTTTGTAGTATACACACTCATGATGCAGGCCAAGGTATTCGAACCCACACCACCAGGGGCAGGAAGGTAGGTGCAGTGCTTGCCAGAGTTGTCTCCCTTTTGTAGTATACACACTCATGATGCAGGCCAAGGTATTCGAACCCACACCACCAGGGGCAGGAAGGTAGGTGCAGTGCTTGCCAGAGTTGTCTCCCTTTGTAGTATACACACTCATGATGCAAGCCAAGGTATTCGAACCCACACCACCAGGGGGCAGGAAGGTAGGTGCAGTGCTTGCCAGAGTTGTCTCCCTTTTGTAGTATACACACTCATGATGCAAGCCAAGGTATTCGAACCCACACCACCAGGGGGCAGGAAGGTAGGTGCAGTGCTTGCCAGAGTTGTCTCCCTTTGTAGTATACACACTCATGATGCAGGCCAAGGTATTCGAACCCACACCACCAGGGGGCAGGAAGGTAGGTGCAGTGCTTGCCAGAGTTGTCTCCCTTTTGTAGTATACACACTCATGATGCAGGCCAAGGTATTCGAACCCACACCACCAGGGGGCAGGAAGGTAGGTGCAGTGCTTGCCAGAGTTGTCTCCCTTTTGTAGTATACACACTCATGATGCAAGCCAAGGTATTGAACCCACACCACCAGGGGCAGGAAGGTAGGTGCAGTGCTTGCCAGAGTTGTCTCCCTTTGTAGTATACACTCATGATGCAAGCCAAGGTGGTTCAACCCACACCACCAGGGGCAGGAAGGTAGGTGCAGTGCTTGCCAGAGTTGTCTCCCTTTTGTAGTATACACACTCATGATGCAGGCCAAGGTATTCGAACCCACACCACCAGGGGGCAGGAAGGTAGGTGCAGTGCTTGCCAGAGTTGTCTCCCCTTTTGTAGTATACACACTCCTGATGCAGGCCAAGGTATTCGAACCCACACCACCAGGGGCAGGAAGGTAGGTGCAGTGCTTGCCAGAGTTGTCTCCCTTTTGTAGTATACACACTCATGATGCAAGCCAAGGTATTGAACCCATACCACCAGGGGGCAGGAAGGTAGGTGCAGTGCTTGCCAGAGTTGTCTCCCTTTGTAGTATACACACTCATGATGCAAGCCAAGGTATTCGAACCCACACCACCAGGGGGCAGGAAGGTAGGTGCAGTGCTTGCCAGAGTTGTCTCCCCTTTTGTAGTATACACACACTCATGATGCAGGCCAAGGTGTTCCGAACCCACACCACCAGGGGCAGGAAGGTAGGTGCAGTGCTTGCCAGAGTTGTCTCCCTTTTGTAGTATACACTCATGATGCAGGCCAAGGTATTGAACCCACACCACCAGGGGCAGGAAGGTAGGTGCAGTGCTTGCCAGAGTTGTCTCCCTTTTGTAGTATACACACTCATGATGCAAGCCAAGGTATTCGAACCCACACCACCAGGGGCAGGAAGGTAGGTGCAGTGCTTGCCAGAGTTGTCTCCCTTTTGTAGTATACACACTCATGATGCAAGCCAAGGTGTTCGAACCCACACCACCAGGGGCAGGAAGGTAGGTGCAGTGCTTGCCAGAGTTGTCTCCCTTTTGTAGTATACACACTCATGATGCAAGCCAAGGTATTCTGAACCCACACCACCAGGGGGCAGGAAGGTGGGTGCAGTGCTTGCCAGAGTTGTCTCCTTTTGTAGTATACATACTCATGATGCAAGCCAAGGTATTTGCTTGAGAGTTGTCCCACACCACCCAGGGGGCAGGAAGGTAGGTGCAGTGCTTGCCAGAGTTGTCTCCCTTTTGTAGTATACACACTCATGATGCAAGCCAAGGTATTGAACCCACACCACCAGGGGGCAGGAAGGTAGGTGCAGTGCTTGCCAGAGTTGTCTCCCTTTTGTAGTATACACACTCATGATGCAAGCCAAGGTATTCGAACCCACACACACCACCAGGGGGCAGGAAGGTAGGTGCAGTGCTTGCCAGAGTTGTCTCCCTTTGTAGTATACACACTCATGATGCAGGCCAAGGTATTCGAACCCACACCACCAGGGGGCAGGAAGGTAGGGTGCAGTGCTTGCCAGAGTTGTCTCCCCTTTGTAGTATACACACTCATGATGCAGGCCAAGGTATTCAACCCACACCACCAGGGGGGCAGGAAGGTAGGTGCAGTGCTTGCCAGAGTTGTCTCCCTTTTGTAGTATACACACTCATGATGCAAGCCAAGGTATTGAACCCACACCACCAGGGGGCAGGAAGGTAGGTGCAGTGCTTGCCAGAGTTGTCTCCCTTTGTAGTATACACACTCATGATGCAAGCCAAGGTATTCGAACCCACACCACCAGGGGGCAGGAAGGTAGGTGCAGTGCTTGCCAGAGTTGTCTCCCTTTTGTAGTATACACACTCATGATGCAGGCCAAGGTATTCGAACCCACACCACCAGGGGGCAGGAAGGTAGGTGCAGTGCTTGCCAGAGTTGTCTCCCTTTTGTAGTATACACACTCATGATGCAGGCCAAGGTATTCGAACCCACACCACCAGGGGGCAGGAAGGTAGGTGCAGTGCTTGCCAGAGTTGTCTCCCTTTTGTAGTATACACACTCATGATGCAAGCCAAGGTATTCAACCCACACCACCAGGGGCAGGAAGGTAGGTGCAGTGCTTGCCAGAGTTGTCTCCCCTTTTGTAGTATACACACTCATGATGCAGGCCAAGGTATTCAACCCACACCACCAGGGGGCAGGAAGGTAGGTGCAGTGCTTGCCAGAGTTGTCTCCCTTTGTGTAGTATACACACTCATGATGCAGGCCAAGGTATTCGAACCCACACCACCAGGGGGGCAGGAAGGTAGGTGCAGTGCTTGCCAGAGTTGTCTCCCCTTTTGTAGTATACACACTCATGATGCAGGCCAAGGTATTCGAACCCACACCACCAGGGGCAGGAAGGTAGGTGCAGTGCTTGCCAGAGTTGTCTCCCTTTGTAGTATACACACTCATGATGCAAGCCAAGGTATTCGAACCCACACCACCAGGGGCAGGAAGGTAGGTGCAGTGCTTGCCAGAGTTGTCTCCCCTTTTGTAGTATACACACTCATGATGCAAGCCAAGGTATTCGAACCCACACCACCAGGGGGCAGGAAGGTAGGTGCAGTGCTTGCCAGAGTTGTCTCCCTTTTGTAGTATACACACTCATGATGCAGGCCAAGGTATTCGAACCCACACCACCAGGGGGCAGGAAGGTAGGTGCAGTGCTTGCCAGAGTTGTCTCCCTTTTGTAGTATACACACTCATGATGCAGGCCAAGGTATTCGAACCCACACCACCAGGGGGCAGGAAGGTAGGTGCAGTGCTTGCCAGAGTTGTCTCCCTTTTGTAGTATACACACTCATGATGCAAGCCAAGGTATTCGAACCCACACCACCAGGGGCAGGAAGGTAGGTGCAGTGCTTGCCAGAGTTGTCTCCCTTTGTAGTATACACACTCATGATGCAGGCCAAGGTATTCGAACCCACACCACCAGGGGCAGGAAGGTAGGTGCAGTGCTTGCCAGAGTTGTCTCCCTTTTGTAGTATACACACTCATGATGCAGGCCAAGGTATTCAACCCACACCACCAGGGGCAGGAAGGTAGGTGCAGTGCTTGCCAGAGTTGTCTCCCTTTTGTAGTATACACACTCATGATGCAAGCCAAGGTATTCGAACCCACACCACCAGGGGGCAGGAAGGTAGGTGCAGTGCTTGCCAGAGTTGTCTCCCTTTGTAGTATACACACTCATGATGCAAGCCAAGGTATTCGAACCCACACCACCAGGGGCAGGAAGGTAGGTGCAGTGCTTGCCAGAGTTGTCTCCCTTTGTAGTATACACACTCATGATGCAAGCCAAGGTATTCGAACCCACACCACCAGGGGGCAGGAAGGTAGGTGCAGTGCTTGCCAGAGTTGTCTCCCTTTTGTAGTATACACACTCATGATGCAGGCCAAGGTATTCGAACCCACACCACCAGGGGGCAGGAAGGTAGGTGCAGTGCTTGCCAGAGTTGTCTCCCTTTTGTAGTAGTATACACACTCATGATGCAGGCCAAGATATTCTCCCCTTTGTGGTACCCACACCACCAGGGGGCAGGAAGGTAGGTGCAGTGCTTGCCAGAGTTGTCTCCCTTTTGTAGTATACACACTCATGATGCAAGCCAAGGTATTCGAACCCACACCACCAGGGGGCAGGAAGGTAGGTGCAGTGCTTGCCAGAGTTGTCTCCCCCTTTGTAGTATACACACTCATGATGCAAGCCAAGGTATTCTTGAACCCACACCACCAGGGGCAGGAAGGTAGGTGCAGTGCTTGCCAGAGTTGTCTCCCTTTTGTAGTATACACACTCATGATGCAGGCCAAGGTATTCGAACCCACACCACCAGGGGCAGGAAGGTAGGTGCAGTGCTTGCCAGAGTTGTCTCCCTTTGTAGTATACACACTCATGATGCAGGCCAAGGTATTCAACCCCCCACCACCAGGGGGCAGGAAGGTAGGTGCAGTGCTTGCCAGAGTTGTCTCCCTTTTGTAGTATACACACTCATGATGCAGGCCAAGGTATTCAACCCACACCACCAGGGGGCAGGAAGGTAGGTGCAGTGCTTGCCAGAGTTGTCTCCCTTTGTAGTATACACACTCATGATGCAGGCCAAGGTATTGAACCCACACCACCAGGGGCAGGAAGGTAGGTGCAGTGCTTGCCAGAGTTGTCTCCCTTTGTAGTATACACACTCATGATGCAGGCCAAGGTATTCGAACCCACACCACCAGGGGGCAGGAAGGTAGGTGCAGTGCTTGCCAGAGTTGTCTCCCTTTTGTAGTATACACACTCATGATGCAGGCCAAGGTATTCAACCCACACCACCAGGGGGCAGGAAGGTAGGTGCAGTGCTTGCCAGAGTTGTCTCCCTTTGTAGTATACACACTCATGATGCAAGCCAAGGTATTCGAACCCACACCACCAGGGGCAGGAAGGTAGGTGCAGTGCTTGCCAGAGTTGTCTCCCTTTGTAGTATACACACTCATGATGCAGGCCAAGGTATTCAACCCACACCACCAGGGGGCAGGAAGGTAGGTGCAGTGCTTGCCAGAGTTGTCTCCCTTTGTAGTATACACACTCATGATGCAGGCCAAGGTATTCGAACCCACACCACCAGGGGGCAGGAAGGTAGGTGCAGTGCTTGCCAGAGTTGTCTCCCTTTGTGTATTACACACACTCATGATGCAAGCCATACACACACTCATGATGCAGGCCAAGGTATTCGAACCCACACCACCAGGGGGCAGGAAGGTAGGTGCAGTGCTTGCCAGAGTTGTCTCCCTTTGTAGTATACACACTCATGATGCAAGCCAAGGTATTCGAACCCACACCACCAGGGGGCAGGAAGGTAGGTGCAGTGCTTGCCAGAGTTGTCTCCCCTTTGTAGTATACACACTCATGATGCAGGCCAAGGTATTCAACCCACACCACCAGGGGCAGGAAGGTAGGTGCAGTGCTTGCCAGAGTTGTCTCCCTTTGTAGTATACACACTCATGATGCAGGCCAAGGTATTCAACCCACACCACCAGGGGCAGGAAGGTAGGTGCAGTGCTTGCCAGAGTTGTCTCCCCTTTGTAGTATACACACTCATGATGCAGGCCAAGGTATTCGAACCCACACCACCAGGGGGCAGGAAGGTAGGTGCAGTGCTTGCCAGAGTTGTCTCCCTTTGTAGTATACACACTCATGATGCAAGCCAAGGTATTCGAACCCACACCACCAGGGGGCAGGAAGGTAGGTGCAGTGCTTGCCAGAGTTGTCTCCCTTTGTAGTATACACACTCATGATGCAGGCCAAGGTATTCGAACCCACACCACCAGGGGGCAGGAAGGTAGGTGCAGTGCTTGCCAGAGTTGTCTCCCTTTTGTAGTATACACACTCATGATGCAGGCCAAGGTATTCGAACCCACACCACCAGGGGGCAGGAAGGTAGGTGCAGTGCTTGCCAGAGTTGTCTCCCTTTTGTAGTATACACACTCATGATGCAGGCCAAGGTATTCGAACCCACACCACCAGGGGGCAGGAAGGTAGGTGCAGTGCTTGCCAGAGTTGTCTCCCTTTGTAGTATACACACTCATGATGCAAGCCAAGGTATTCAACCCACACCACCAGGGGCAGGAAGGTAGGTGCAGTGCTTGCCAGAGTTGTCTCCCTTTTGTAGTATACACACTCATGATGCAAGCCAAGGTATTCGAACCCACACCACCAGGGGGCAGGAAGGTAGGTGCAGTGCTTGCCAGAGTTGTCTCCCTTTTGTAGTATACACACTCATGATGCAGGCCAAGGTATTCGAACCCACACCACCAGGGGGGCAGGAAGGTAGGTGCAGTGCTTGCCAGAGTTGTCTCCCTTTGTAGTATACACACTCATGATGCAGGCCAAGGTATTCGAACCCACACCACCAGGGGGCAGGAAGGTAGGTGCAGTGCTTGCCAGAGTTGTCTCCCTTTGTAGTATACACACTCATGATGCAGGCCAAGGTATTCGAACCACACACCACCAGGGGCAGGAAGGTAGGTGCAGTGCTTGCCAGAGTTGTCTCCCTTTTGTAGTATACACACTCATGATGCAAGCCAAGGTATTCGAACCCACACCACCAGGGGCAGGAAGGTAGGTGCAGTGCTTGCCAGAGTTGTCTCCCTTTTGTAGTATACACACTCATGATGCAGGCCAAGGTATTCGAACCCACACCACCAGGGGCAGGAAGGTAGGTGCAGTGCTTGCCAGAGTTGTCTCCCTTTTGTAGTATACACACTCATGATGCAGGCCAAGGTATTCGAACCCACACCACCAGGGGCAGGAAGGTAGGTGCAGTGCTTGCCAGAGTTGTCTCCCTTTGTAGTATACACACTCATGATGCAGGCCAAGGTATTCGAACCCACACCACCAGGGGCAGGAAGGTAGGTGCAGTGCTTGCCAGAGTTGTCTCCCTTTTGTAGTATACACACTCATGATGCAGGCCAAGGTATTCAACCCACACCACCAGGGGCAGGAAGGTAGGTGCAGTGCTTGCCAGAGTTGTCTCCCTTTGTAGTATACACACTCATGATGCAGGCCAAGATATTCAACCCACACCACCAGGGGCAAGAAGGTAGGTGCAGTGCTTGCCAGAGTTGTCTCCCTTTTGTAGTATACACACTCATGATGCAAGCCAAGGTATTCGAACCCACACCACCAGGGGGCAGGAAGGTAGGTGCAGTGCTTGCCAGAGTTGTCTCCCTTTTGTAGTATACACACTCATGATGCAGGCCAAGGTATTCGAACCCACACCACCAGGGGGCAGGAAGGTAGGTGCAGTGCTTGCCAGAGTTGTCACCCTTTGTAGTATACACACTCATGATGCAGGCCAAGGTATTCGAACCCACACCACCAGGGGCAGGAAGGTAGGTGCAGTGCTTGCCAGAGTTGTCACCCTTTGTAGTATACACACTCATGATGCAGGCCAAGGTATTCGAACCCACACCACCAGGGGGCAGGAAGGTAGGTGCAGTGCTTGCCAGAGTTGTCTCCCTTTGTAGTATACACACTCATGATGCAAGCCAAGGTATTCGAACCCACACCACCAGGGGGCAGGAAGGAAGGTGCAGTGCTTGCCAGAGTTGTCTCCCTTTTGTAGTATACACACTCATGATGCAGGCCAAGGTATTCGAACCCACACCACCAGGGGGCAGGAAGGTAGGTGCAGTGCTTGCCAGAGTTGTCATCCTTTGTAGTATACACACTCATGATGCAGGCCAAGGTATTCGAACCCACACCACCAGGGGGCAGGAAGGTAGGTGCAGTGCTTGCCAGAGTTGTCTCCCTTTGTAGTATACACACTCATGATGCAGGCCAAGGTATTCGAACCCACACCACCAGGGGGCAGGAAGGTAGGTGCAGTGCTTGCCAGAGTTGTCTGTCTCCCCATGATGCAGACAAACACATCTCAACCCACGCCAGATAATTTACTGCTCAAGATAAACAAATTTTATGGTATGTCTGTAAATGTCAGATGACTGTTTCGATAGGTAAATCATCTTTAAATATTACTTCATAATTTTCCTTACATGATGTTTTTCTGATGTTTTCTAGGTTGTTCTGGCAACAAATATCGCAGAGACATCCCTGACAATAGACGGCATCATCTATGTGATAGATCCTGGTTTCTGTAAAATGAAGAGTTACAACGCTCGCACAGGCATGGAGTCACTAGTTGTCAGTCCTATATCCAGGGTATGTTCAGCTGATAACAGGAATATAATCCATATACTGCACCAGTTGATTGCAATACAATTGTTTAATATGATTTGTTTTGCTGTTTTACCATCTAGAGGATAGCCTTGAGAGTTAGGGCTGTGCAATATTACCGGTATATACCAGTACAATATCTCGCGATACGATTATCGCGATATGGTTCAGATTCTGCAATATATTGGTCATCCAGAGTTAGCTCCCTTTGCATTATCTGCGCTTGATTTCCAAGCATAAAAATGTGATCTAAAAGTGCCAAATATACTTTTATTTCTGTTGGTTTTATGTAACATTTTACAAGTGGGAGTATCTTTGTAAGTGGCTCCAAAAGTGCCAACTATTCTACCAATTGAATGGTCTCATATGTGACATTTTGGAGGAATTAAGGGACCACTCATAATTTATTACTTGGAGGGTGATGATGATTTTTATGGAGAAGCATGTACAATGTGAATGGAGCACATACACACACACACACCCCTAAAAATTATGTACAAAATGAGTGAACACCCCATCCCACCCCCCTTGCATGTCATGTACAAAATCAATTACCCCCTCCTTCCCATAATTTCTTAGCATAATTTTAAACATAGTGTTATGTACAAACTTGCTGACACCATCCCCACCCCCACCCCCACCCCCCTCCCTAAAACGTGTGTACATAAACTGCTAAACCACCACCCACCCCAAGCTCCCCAGAACAAAATGGGTGTACCCCTTAAAATCACTGACTATGAAACGTATGTTATACTATTACTATTACTTTATCATTATGTTCTCAAACCTTTGTTGCAATATCTCAATTAAACATTCCACATTAAGGTTCTATATCATTTTATTTATCTGTAAACCATTGGCATACAGCCATGCACAATGAGGACTGGGAGCCTGAAAGTATGGTGTAACAGCAACTAAGAAGATAATGTCACACACACACAGAGCTATTATGAATTTATGATGTATGCACTTGGGCAGAAACCCTCCATTTAATATATCGCAATATATATTGCAATATGTCTTAAATTATTGCAATATATCGCAATATGAGAATCAGGGCAATATCCAGCCCTATTGAGAGTGGAAGGTTGGTACAAGATGATGCTTCAAAATTAAGGGCATAAAACTGGTCTGTTCGTAGTCATCATGCTGTGTCTGATTGGTACTGACACAATATCCATGTTTCACCGGACGTGATATCTTTTTGGCTTACTCTTTGAAACAGCCATTAGTCCACCCTGGTCAATACAGATACACATGCAGACACAGACTTTGTCAAGTCTTCAATGTGTAGTTTCAGATGTTGCATTACACTTTAGGATCTTTCTTATGCATGAATCAGTCAGTAACTTTGGCCTTAATACCTTCTATCCTGGTGATTGAGGTGTTCACTTGTTTGACTAAAGTTTAGGTTCAATTCCCCACATGCATAAAATGTTTGGAACCCATTTCTAGAATTCCATGAGTGAAGGAATATTGCTTAGATGTGGCATAAAACCATCTTGATGCATTCCCTCACTCTGAAAAGAAACTTTGAGCGTTCATAGTTGATATTGATTACTGACATCTGTCAGGACAGAAGAATGAAAACAGATGTTTATGACTTTGTTTCTCGCCTCTTCCAGGCATCAGCCAATCAGAGGGCTGGTCGGGCAGGGCGTGTTGCTGCAGGAAAGTGTTTCCGGTTGTACACGGCATGGGCGTACAAGAACGAACTGGAGGACAACACCATCCCTGAGATCCAGCGCACCAACCTCGGCAACGTGGTGCTGTTGTTGAAGAGTCTGGGGATTAACGATCTCATCAACTTTGACTTCATGGACCCGCCACCCCACGAGACTCTGGTGCTCGCTTTAGAGCAGCTGTATGCTCTCGGGGCACTCAACCACATGGGGGAGCTCACAAAGCTCGGGAGACGCATGGCCGAGTTTCCTGTTGATCCCATGATGTCCAAGATGATCCTTGCTTCCGAAAAGTAAGATAGATTCATTGTCTGTATTATTATACGCTTTGTGACCTGTGAGGATTTCAGGAAGAATAGGGGCGGTGGGGTAGTCTAGTGGTTAAAGCGTTGGCTTGTCACGTCGAAGACCCGGGTTCGAATCCCAACATGGGTACAATGAGTGAAGCCCATTTCTGGTGTCCCCACCGTGATATTGCTGGAATATTGCTAAAAGCGGCGTAAAACCAAACTCAGTCAGTCAGTCAGAAGAATATGTCCCAGCCAACAGTGTTTGTTATAACAGGCGACTAAGTGGATCAGGTTGTCAAATTTTGTAGTTGGTTGAACCAGTTACAGAGATCCATTTTTAGTATTGTAAATTACTGGATTGTCTCATCCTAATATAAATATTTACTGACAGCTGTCATATACAGGGAGCTGGAATATTGCTGACTGCTGTATTAAACGACAAACTTTCAGTGTTCATTATCGGATGAATGATTGTAATATTTCTCTTTCACTTTATTTAATTCAAACAAAATTTCTAGTCCTGTTGCTTTGGATACCAAAAAGGATAACAATGATTGAGTCCCTATTAAATATCCTAGAACATTCTGGTTCTCAGAAATTGTAATGTGGAAGACCCCACAATGATACAATAATACATTTAAATATGTATAATTTTCATTATGTCAGGGACACAGGGGGCAAGGTCTTCTAAGGCCCTGCATCAATGAAGACCCGGGTTAGAATTGGTCTTCAGTAACCCATGCTTGTCATAAAAGGCGACTGATGGAATCGGTTAGTGAGGCTCGCTGACTTGGTTGACACATGCCAGCGTGTCCGAGTTGCATAGATCAATGTTCCTGATCACTGGATTGTCTGGTCCAGACTCAACTATTTACAGGCCACCACCATATAGCTTGAATGTTGCTGGAGTGCTGCATTAAACAAACAAAATCTATGGCCCTGCAGTTCACTGTATCTGGGTATGCCAGAAACCTGTGATCATGGGTTTGAATCCCACAGTTATGATTTGTAGGTTTGTCAGCACCATACCCGTGATTATAGGTTTTACCAAAGTGATTTAGAATTTAGAATAACACCTTTTCCGGCTTTCCTCCCACTGAAATCTGAAATGCCATGGAGTAGAACTCTTCAAAGCAACATTTAACCCACCTGAGCTCCTCTTATTTTGTCTTTGCCTTAAAAACAAATCATTGAATCAAATTATCATGATGTTGTTTCAGATACAAGTGTTCCAAGGAAGTGATCACAATAGCTGCCATGTTGTCTGTGAACAATGCAATATTCTACCGTCCCAAAGACAAAATAGTCCATGCAGATACAGCTCGTGTTAATTTCTTCGTCCCTGGAGGAGACCATCTGACCTTGTTGAATGTGTACACCCAATGGGAGGACACAGACTACTCCACACAGTGGTGTTATGAGAACTTCATACAGCACCGGTCCATGAAGCGAGCCCGTGACGTCCGTGAACAGCTTGAGGGGCTCCTGGACAGAGTGGAAATAGAGATTGTGTCCAACCCTGGAGAGACTGTCAATATTCGAAAGGTAAGTATCCATGGCATACTGTCTATCAAATAGGAAAGTCTTCAACTAGCTGGTAACAATGTTTCACAGTCCTACCAGGAATTCATATATTTAAGCCTCAGGTTTAATAATGAAAAATGGCCCTTTTTGTAATCAGATTGATGAAACTGTAATTAAGCCCAGGGATTAAATTCGGGAATTGCACATATTGAATGAATTTGCTACGATACGCTCGACATTTTCCAACATTGATCAAATCATAGATGCCTGCCTAGCACTTAGCTTTAAGGAATAAACAAGGACTGGCCGGCTTGGGGGGTCAGTATGTTAGGACTCAGTGTGTTGCCTGCTGTCTTAGTGGATTTGGGCACTATAAAACAGGCATTAGTCACAGTGCCCATGTAGTACAAGCTGCGTGCAGCCAACGCTTTAACCACTAGGCTACCCAATATCCGAGTACAAGCAGCTGCATGCAGCACACACACACAAAATGTGCAATAATCTTTAAGATGACATTATACTACATACCTCACTCTGAAGTTAGTGTGCTGTCATCTTGACACAGGCTGTTACAGCAGGTTGGCTTGGTATACTATGACAGTGTGGTATTCAAGTTAAATAGAAGCATGGTATCTGAGCCCACTCACTCACTCACAATGCTCTTTAAGATGACATTAACCACATTTCACCTCACTCTTAAGTGTTATTTTGTCCCTACAGGCCGTTACAGCAGGCTACTTCTACCACACATCCAGGATGGACAAGGGCGGACAGTACAAGACAGTCAAACACCATCAGACGGTCATGATCCATCCAAACAGCTCATTGTTTGAAGAGCTGCCACGATGGCTTATCTACCACGAACTGGTGTTCACCTCGAAAGAGTTCATGAGACAGGTGAGTGGGAGCGTTATCTTGTGTTCATCTTGAAGTTGGTCATAAATGATAGTGGCACACAAAGAGACAGCCAAACTTTGACATTTACTGTTTATTCCTATACAGAAAATAGGTCAAGAAAAACTTAAGACAGTTTTATATTGTCCCAACTTATACAGATTCTTCCATGTTAGAATTGGTCTTCAGCAACCCATGCTTATCATTAGAGGCGTCGAACGGGATCAGATGGTCAGGCTGACCGACTTGGTTGACACGTCATCATATCCCAGTTGTGTAGACCGATGCTCATACTGTTGATCACTGGATTGTCTGGTCCAGACTTGATTATTTACAGACCTCCACCATACAATAATAATTGGCTTGTATAGCGCCTAGTTTCCATCATAGATGCTCAACGGCGCTGCATATATCGTTAAAAACACAATAAGTGTGAAAAGAGTTCTATTCAGAAGCCATCTTGAAGAAGTAGGTTTTGAGCAAGTTCTTGAAAAGTGACTGGGACTCAGTTCGTCTGAGGGTGACGGGAAGATTGTTCCATAGAGCTGGTGCTGCTACAGAAAAGGCTCTATCACCCATGGATGTTTTAGTGCTTGGCTGTGTTAGTCTTAACGTATCTATTGATCTAAGAGCTCTGGTGGGTACATGCAGATGTACAAGCTGGCGAAGGTAGTCACAGGACTGGTCATCGTAGAGGCAGTTATGAGTCAGTAGCAGAATCTTGAAGTAAATCCTGTACTTTACTGGAAGCCAGTGAAGGGTTTTCAGAACTGGCGATATATGGTCATGGCGATGGGTTCGAGAGACCACACGAGCTGCTGCGTTTTGAATTTTCTGCCGTGTTGAAGATGCCGTGTTGCAAAAGAATGAGTTGCAATAGTCCAGCTTTGAGATTACAAGTGTTTGCATTAGGAGCTTTGTTGTCTCAGTATCTAGGAAGTATATAGCTGGAATATTGCTGTGTGGGGCTTAAAACAACAAACAAACAAACTGTAGATTCCATTGTTATTTTTTAACAGGTTTGTTTAAATCTAAACAGTTACTATCCTAACTTGGTTTCCAGGTGATCGAGATAGAGAATGGCTGGCTTCTGGAAGTAACGCCACATTACTACCGGGCCAAGGACCTCGAGTCAGGCGCCAATAAGAAGATGCCAAAAAGCAGGAAAAGCCAGGGATGACTTGAACAGACTGTATTAAGAGACTAACAAGACACTGATTGAGTTTCACAGCTGTAATTCTAAGGACAAACTGAAACATCAGTTATATTGAATCACATGTGATGGATTCCTTGATGCTAGTTTCACATTGGACGTGTTGGAACCAAAATGCACCCATGAACTGAGCAAGCAGATGAAGACAGGTACTCCTCATTTGATTACAGGTGTTAGGCTCTATAAGGTACCACCGAGTTGAGCAAGCACTTGGGGACGTGATGAAGAGGCGACTTCTCAAAAAGTGGAGAAACACACAACCAAAATCACAGTGTGAATAAAAGATTGATTGACTTACAAGATTGACACAAAAGATTTGGGGCAGGTTTGGGGATATGTACACATTTACATTCCAACAGTATATTTTTGTTAAGCAGAACAGATATGTTCGAATATTTCTATTTCAGGACTAAATTAACTGCCTTGAAATAAAGTTGTTGTCACTGAAGCCAGGGAGGTGAAGAAACTACAGATCATGTGTAGCTCTAGACTGATAACGGCAGTTGAGTAGTCTAGTAGTAAAACATATGTTTATCTAGCCAAAGGCTCAGGTTTAGCTAAGTTCAATGTGTGAGCTCGGTTTCTGGTGTTCCACCATGATATTGCAGAAATGTTGCTGAAAGAGGGCCAAGCATGACTCATTTTAAAAAATCAGTCCACAGGACAGACCAGGTTCTTAATATAATTTTTAGTACATTTTAGTGTTATTACATGTATGATTATCTGAGCTTACCAGACTGGACAGAATTTTACTAGTGACTAGTCTCTGGCTTGTGTCAAGTGGCTAAAGCTGAAGACTCCATCACATCAAAACTATTGTAGAATCCTTGAATGTGAAGAGACACAAATAATTAGGTGTACAATGGGCAATGAAAAATCATCATGTATATACCATCCTTGTACATATCCCATGTTGCCTTGCTGTATATATGTACATGTGTGTGTAAATAAAACATTACTACCATCTTAGTCTGAATCATATATTCAAGGCAATTGGTCCTTGGGACTAGTCTTCACTGTTCTCCTCCTGGCTCCTCATAGCCTTGTGGTTAAAGCATTCGCTTGTCAAGCCGGAGACCTGGGTTCAATTCCCCACATGGGTATAAAGTGTGAAGCCCATTTCTGGTATTCACTACATCACAAATGATCTATAAGGGGACTTTGGAGCTTTCATAAGGACACGAGTTGGATACAGCTAACTGGAAAGTGCAAATACAAAACTCAAACATTTGGTAGTATCAGTTTTATTGTGGAAAGTAAACCGCAAATATTTAGAGCAAATCTCCTTCATATTCTCATCTGATCACAATCACACCTTGATCGAAGCATTTCTGTGCTTTGGTAAATCAAGCACAATATAAAATCAAAATTGTTTCCAACAGTGCATACGTCAGTCCCTGAAGAGCCTGTAAGATGTTAGGACATGGTGCCCTTAGTATATCAAAGTTGATCAAATTATACAATAAACCACATATGAAGATTTTGACCACATATCATGTCTCATTGAAAATAACATGTTAAGGCCAAAATTGCAGGCTAGATGAATTAGCCCAATGGTATCTACAATCTTAAGCAGTTTTGTGATGCAATTTGGTCTACTTGTTAACTTTAACCATGCCCTCAGACAGCAATATGTCTTCCACACATAGAACATGTGGTTTATCCCTCTACAGTAATTCCCTGCAAAGATGTGATACAGGTTATATCTCACATCTACATCAGGGTTCTGACAGGAAGTGACGTAAGCATGTCACTGATGCCCTGTAATGGTGTATCCTTGCACATCCTGTTATACTCAAGCATCAACACTGACAAAGCACATGCTATTACACAATCACCTGGCATCTGCCACTTTCAGCAAAACTACACACGGAATTAACCAATTTCAAAAAGAATTTTAACCTAAGGTTGTCCTGAGAACACTTTCAAATATTCCACTTTGTGAGTGTATCACTGTTCCTTATAGAAACCCCACAAAAATATCTAAAATACTTCCATCCTGACAAAAGTGATAAATAATCTATTGACAAATCAAATGTATTACCCAGACAAAGGCCATATATTGGCTCTTGGAAAGCCTTTATAAGCATTTGCAAGATCAATACAGCTATTTGAAATTGAGAAAAACCATGTTCAGAACTTAAGAACCCTAAAAGTCACTTAATACAGACAACAATTTCGCTGACAGTATCTTGTCTTGGGAGCCAAATATGTTCACGTGTATGAGCCGTATCAATTTCTGAATTATGTGAACTCAGATGACAACTGCAAAATGATTTATCTGCAATAGCTGTGCCCTGTCAGATGATTGTGGGCAAGATAGAACACTCATTACAAACTACGGACACCTTAAAAAGAGATACACGTAGTGTACAAGGTGCCTTAGACAAGCTAGGCAAATATCTTATATGATAAGAATTCCATCACAATTTCAAGGCTAAATGCATAACCCAATTCAAGCAAAGCGGAACTGAAAGACTGTCAAGGCATCTCTCAAAAGGTGCCACAAATGACTGTTTACATTCCTCACAGCTTATATCGGGAAAATACCAAAAAAGTCATTTTCCTATTTTTTTACACAAAAAGAATGATCTTTCTGTGGCTCTTTTCTGTGCGACAGATCACAAAGACGATCAATACACAACAATCCAACTCCCAGTCTATAAGACCTGTAACAGTCATACTACGATGGCTTAGTGGAACGGACTGCTGGGCTGTTTCAAACCCTGTTTCTTCTGTCAACAGTGATTGTAATATTCATGCAAAACCTGACTTCAGACTAAAGTTTCAGAACTTCCAAAGGTGCTACATTTCCCCTCCACACCTCATACTTGAGAATGTCTTTGTTGAGTCATTTTTCAGGTTTGATGATACATCTTGACAGCCTTCTAAATATTACATAAAAAGGCATAAATGTATTAATGCCCTTCAACACATGAAATACAATCCAAACAGTCAAATCCAAAATTCCTTGACCTGGAGAAAATCTGACATAAATGAATATCATCATCCTAAATAAAAAAAATGAAGAATAACAACCAATTAAAACATAAGAAAAGTGGCAGCACCACAAAAGATGTTAGTCACCCCATTGGAGTTACCTCCCTTCCTAATTTCTTCTTTATCTGCTGACGTTTATCAAATCCAACAGGGGGAAAGGGCAAATTCCTTCTTGACAGGAAGAGCAACCAACCTTCATTCAACTGTATCATCTTACTATGAATGAATATACATTTGGGTGGATACCTCCCAAACCCATTATTTAAAACTGAAAAAAAGTAACTAATTTCAAATTAAAGTACAAAGTAACCCCATTCTGCAAACAATAACTTAAATACAAAAGAAAATGTCTACCGTATTAACATGACATAAGGAGGAAAATGAAACATTGGACACATTGGACTGAAATACCAATGTTCAAAACACTGATAAATACATCTAATTGACATTCTAGTTATATAAGATGATCAACCCAAGATTAGTTTCTCTTATCATTACCACAGATTAGAGCACATTTAGAAAGTAAAATATTGGACTCTTCATCCTCATAACTTTGCAAATGCAAGACATCATACAGTGTACAATATGACAGCAGTACTAAATGAGAGCATAAGTACAAGGTGAAGAAGTATATGTTTCCTTTACACATATATATATATATATTCATTCTACTTATCTACATTATGAAGACTCTTGTAAAATGAAATCCATGGCTAATTATCTTACTACAAGCTTACTTCCTGGCAAACAGAACCACAAACCACCCAAGGAACATCAAGTTTTCCCTTTTCATAGAAAGGATACAGTACGACCAACTGGTCAGGTGGTTGTTGAGCTCCAGCTCCCAATTCCAGATTAATTTTATGCATAATTGTAATTTTATATTAAACACTAACATGCTAAGATTGATTCACTGAAATTTGTTTCCTGCAAAAAGGTATTTAGATAAACCATGTTTTTTGTTTACCAATCTGGAATTCATTTACAAAATAAATGTGACTTGTGTGTCGTAAGAACATAACTAACCATACCAAAGGTCAATATCATAACGATTTCAGCTGAAAGTTCCTTCTGGGCTTACTCTTTCACTTTTTGCCCAGATTTTCAAAGCTCCCTTAACGCTAAGATAGTCGTAAGTGCCATACATTAACATTAACTTACGACTATCTTAGCGCTAAGAGAGCTTCGAAAATCTAGGCCCTGTGTATTGTCTTACAGATTTCAAATGAAACATCAAACTAAAATTACTCTAAGCTAGAGTGAGAGCAAGTGCTTATTGCTTAACATCACAGAAGCAATTTTAAAGGTATTTGCAGTTATCTCAAACGCAATATGTTCAATCCTTGAGCAGAGCACAACAAAAATATTTTGAACTCCAATAAAGGTTTGGGGTAAAGTACCAACAAGTTATTAATAATGGAAAATACTGTGAAATAAAACCTTTATAAGGTAATTACACAGTCTAATTTCCACATAAAAGTAAAAGTGTCACAAGCAGTAAAGCAAATATCAAACCATATTACCACTCTTGAGTATCATGATTATATGAGAAAACACATCTTGTTATTTATCACAAATAATTATTCATGAAATACTTCATAATTACATAGTAATTACTTGCATGAAAATGTACACACTCTATAACTATAGATGAATAGTTAACAGCAAAATGTCAAAATAGACCTAATTATCCAATTCATATTTTCTAAGATAGTAAATATGAGAATAATACCCCAACAACAAACCAGTCTCCATAGTGATGACTGTGTACAAACTGTCAAGTCAGCTACCGACCAGTGCCAACAGTTAACACATATCATAATGTATACCCATCACAGTAATACAACAAGTTCCCAAGGGCCAGTAACCAATGACAACAATGAATGTAATGGCCATTTTGAATCATAAACGCCTTTCTTATCACACCCTGCAATTACACACACAGTCAATGTGACATATAGAAGGGTAATTTGACAAAACTCAAACAAATATGTTAGGATTTCATACCCATTGTAGTGTATGGTAAAATTTTGTCCACACACAATAATGTGTGCAAACATCTAGGAAAATTTGACTCAATCCCCGTCTGAAGTTCTGGGCAGACAAGCACAAACTGCAGCCATGTCTTCCATCATCCATCTGTCTGTTTCCACAAACGTTACATGACATAAGAGCACACAGCTGTCCGTATGTCTGAAACAAACCAGACACATCTTGGGTTAAGCTTGCATGCTAGTTACTGAAGTATAAGGGAGTTAACTGAAAATGTAAGTCCAGTATCCACCCTTGCTGAAATCTTGTAGTTGAAATCTCTGTGTAGATATATTAGTCAATACAATACACAACTGAGATATTCCATCAGATGAGAATTTTTAAAACGCTACACTAGTAAAGTACTGACCTATCCTAGCAGAGAGATTACCTACCATAATGGAGAGTTGACACACCGTAGTGGAGTGCTGACCTGACCTAATAAAGAACTGACCTGTCCTAGTGAAGTGTAGACTTATCCCAGTGGAGAGTTGATCTATTCTGGTGGACAAGATCGACCATAGTTGCAAGTTGACATACCCTAAAGGAGTATTCACCTACCTTAGTGGAGTGTGAACCTACCTTAGCAGAGTGTGGACCTACCTTAGCAGAGTGTGGACCTACCTTAGCGGAGTGTGGACCTACCTTAGCAGACTGTGGACCTACCTTAGCAGAGCGTGGACCTACCTTAGCATACTGTGGACCTACCTTTGTGGGGAGTTGAATTACCCTAATGGACAGTTGACCTATCCTAGTGGAGAGGTGACCTATCCTAGTTGGGAGCTGACTAAGCCTAATGGAGAGTTGACCTATCCTAATGGAGAGTTGACCTATCCTAGTGGAGAGTTGACTTACCCTAGTGGAGAGTTGACCTATCCTAGTGGGGAGTTGACTTACCCTAATGGAGAGTTGACTTACCCTAGTGGAGAGTTGACCTATCCTAGTGGGGAGTTGACTTACCCTAGTGGAGAGTTGACCTATCCTAGTGGGGAGTTGACTTACCCTAGTGGAGAGTTGACCTATCCTAGTGGAGAGTTGACTTATCCTAGTGGAGAGTTGACCTATCCTAATGCAGAGTTGACTTACCCTAATGCAGAGTTGACCTATCCTAGTGGGGAGTTGACTTACCCTAATGGAGAGTTGACTTACCCTAGTGGAGAGTTGACCTATCCTAGTGGGGAGTTGACTTACCCTAGTGGAGAGTTGACGTATCCTAGTGGAGAGTTGACTTACCCTAGTGGAGAGTTGACCTATCCTAGTGGGGAGTTGACTTACCCTAGTGGAGAGTTGACCTATCCTAGTGGAGAGTTGACTTACCCTAATGCAGAGTTGACCTATCCTAGTTATGGTGTACCCTATTGGACCGTTGACCTGCTCTAGTAGAGAAATGACCCGCCCTAGTGGAGAGATAACCTACCCTAGTGGAAGTGAGTTCCCTGACTGCCAAGGTCCTGCAGCTTTAGCAGTTGTGACAAGATTCTCTCCTGCTGTTCTGAACATTTCTGATTGACACTACAAAATGTAGCAGTCAACTCATGCAGTTTCTGAAAAGGAAAATATTTCTGGCTATAATGATAGTACTCGCTTCACAGTGACAGTTCCATATTTTACCTGTGACTTGGATAACACAGCTATAACTACAAGGTAAAACACTTTTTAATTCAAGAGTGAAAAATGCAAATAATGCAATTAATATTCTCAATGGGACAGATTTTGAGAGGTTAAAACTATATTTCCATGACAAGATAACATTTTTAAGGTGCCATGGACCTTTTATATATAGCCGTCTATGCACAGATTTTCAGTTTGTTTGTTTGTTTGATGTTTAGCGCTGCACTCGGCAATATTCCAGCTATATGGCAGAGGTCTGTAAATAATCAAGCCTGAACCAGACAATCAAGTGATCAACAGCATGAACATGGGTCTACGCAATTTCGATACGATGACATGTCAACCACGTCAGTGCGTCGGAGCACCCAATCCCGTTAGTCACTCCTTACAACAAGCATGGGTAGCTGAAGACCAATTCTAACCCGGATCTTCATGGGTTGAACAGATTTTCAGGCAAGTTTGAACGGTATATGGTATTTACAACAAGGATGAGTTGCAAATACTACAACTGCCACTGTATACAAATGGAAAGTAATGATATTTTCAATGGGCAACGAACCTTCTGCTCACTGGCTGTGAGGGTGGGGTCAGAGGCCCGTACACCTGGGGAACCAGCTATTTGATCTCTGGGGGTGGACTGGAAGATGGGAAGCATCAGCTGGTTAAGATGGGAGGCATCTGTTCCGCTTCCAAGTGGGTCTGGCTTCTGCCCAGTTTGCTGAAAGAAGAAGAACGGATTAGAAAATATGAAACACTCCACAACAAACTCATCACTGTCAACAACTGAGCAACTGAATGTTGCTTATGCTGCAGTCAGCAATATTCCAGCTTTAGCATGCTAGCAAGATGTATCTGGGGATCATGTTCGTCACTGGCCCTTCTAATGGTTTGTTTTGGTACTTGAATGATGTGAATGCTTTCTCTACAGCTCGTAAACTATCAGGCCAGGCCAACCTGTCCTTGACAGAGCAGCAATGTCTAGCACAAACAATGGTTTGTTTTTGTACCTGAATGATGTGAATGCTTTCTCCACAGCTCGTAAACTATCAGGGCCAGGCCAACCTGTGCTTGGCAGAGCAGCAATGTCTAGCACAATGACAAACGATGAGCAAGAACGGCTGTAATAATCCGATCCACAGTAGTCTGCTCTTACAACAATCATGTGAGTAAGTGTAGAATTTATCCTGCTTTCATTAATATTATCTGTAAGTACAGATGAAATCCACATTGAGAAGTACCCTTACAAAAGTGGGAGAATATTTTAGTAACTAGCCTAGAGGATATGTCCTATTTGAAATTTATGCCTGAAGCAAATGAATAGTTTTTATTTTTTAAAAATGATGATATCTGTTCATTGACATCAGTCAAATTCTTCACATATGGCTGTAACCAACTTTACAGTTGCTGTCTCCTCTTACTTCAACAGAGAAATCCTGGTGCTTTGGCTAACTGACTGAAAACAAGTTCTGTGCATGCTGACGTACATGGCTCTAACTTGCACAAGCAGTCTTATGCCCCAATCATGGTATCACTGAATTGCCTCAATCATGATATCATGTTTGAACACGGACAAGACTGTACTTACCATTGATATTTTAATATCTATGGCCTGCAGCTCATATGCTAGACTTTCTTTCTTGGTATTGGCACCATGGGCACGGTTTTCAAGTCGAGTCACCTCCTGCTGCAGACATCTCTTGGTGCGGTTTGCTGGCATTATCTGATGTCCCAAGACAGTGCCACCATTTTCCCCAAGCCTGGTCTTCTCTGTGGGCAGTTCCCAAGTGCTGAACCTACTGGGGACAGGAGCAGCGACTGCCAGGGGACAGTCCATGGCCGTCACGGCAGTCACAGGTGTCATCCTCTTGATAGTCTGTGATGTCATAGGCAAGAGTCAACAATGGAGGTCTAACAACTGACACTTTCTATACCATTTTCTTCATCATAGAAACTGGTTCACACTTTGTTATTAAAATACATACATTCATAGTAAAATGGATCAGGGCCCTTATTCTCGAAATCGTTCGTAGACCTAAGAATTCTTAACTTGATCGTAGCCAATGTGTTAAGAAGTTCGTAGGGCAATGGGCTTAAGAAGTTCGTAGGGCTACGAACGTTTCGAGAATAGCTAGCCAGGTACTTTAATGTTCATTCCATAATATTACTAAAGTGACAGATGTAGATTAAGTTAAACTAAAGAACATAAATGCCTCTGTTGCAAATACAGTTTCATAAAGCTGAGTATCAAGGATCCCAAGAGCTGTTTTTCAAACAGATTCTTAATGATTTGGAGTATCTTGGCTGCTTTTTAAACAGATTCTTCAGTGATGTAGGGTCTCTTAAATCTTAAACCAGAAACTGTTTCATGAGAATGGCCCAGCTGTCATCATGTCATATTCACCTCATCAGCAGTGACCTGAACTGGGTCTGTGTTCTTGAACTTGGAACGTGACAGTCGTGAGATTGGTCCAAACCTGGATACCAATGGTGGATCAAATGGAATGAAATTCTGGTCCTCCGCTAAGATGTAGTCATCCAACTGAAGCGGAACCCTCGAGACCTCACTGAAACATCCACTCTTTGATAGTACCATCTGACCAATGAGAACGCTGGATTCTACAATGTTATTGTAAATTATTAACACATCCAAACCTGTTAGAGACATGTTGGCTCACTAAATGGACATATTCAGTTTGCAATAACATTTATAGGTTTTGTGAATCAAAATTAAAAACCAGTAGTAATATTGATGAAACTAATATTTTCATATTCTGGTGATGCTACCTACAACTTATAAAATCATGGTCAAATGTATGTATTTGAAAGTAATGTCTGACCAATCAGAACACTGGATTCTACGATGTCACTGACAAAGCCTATCCTTTTTATTCTCATGACCTTAAAGAGTGAGTATGGTTTTATGCCGCTTTCAGCAATAATCCAGCAATATCATTGCAGGTGACACCAGAAATGGGCTTCACAAATTGTGCCATGTTGGGAATCGAACCCTGGTCTTAAGTGTGACAAGCGGACGCATTAACCACTAGGCTACCCCACTGCCCCTGACCTCAAAGATGCAAACCTATCAGTGACTATAGGCTCTAAGTGGCCATAGCAGGTAGAATGGGTATAGTCTTGTATACTCATTCACTGTTTAACAAAGGAATTGGCATTTTGTGATCATTCAGTGGTCAGTACCCTTATGAAGATCCAGGTTAGAATCAGTCTTTAGCTATGTCATAAGAGGTGACTAAAGGAATAAGGGGAGTGAGGGTTGATAACTTGGTTGAAGCATATCATCGTATTACTATCAAGTATATCAATCGATGTCAATCAGTGGATTGTGTGGTCTAGGTTTGATTATTCACTGACCATTGGTCATAAAGCATGAATATCAATGAAAGCAATGATTAACAAACAATTGTTGTCAAAAGACATCAATCCAGAGAATATTCCAGACCAAAGTCTGTGAGTGAGTGAGTATGGTTTTAAGCAGTTTTTAGCTATATTCCAGCAATATCACAGCGGGGACACTGGAAATGGGTTTCACAGATTGAACCCATGTGGGGAATTGAACCTGTGACGAGCAGATGCTTAAACCACTAAACTACCCCATGGCCCCCCAAAACTGTGTGACCTACCTCACTTCATCCACCAATGGGACTCTGTTGGCCGTTTCCTCCTCAAACCAGCTGAACAGTGACTTTGTGGCATCCTCATCATCTCCATCTACCTCAATGTCCGAGGCCTGCTGGTCCCAAAATTCATGACATAAGGCTCCAGGAATGTATACAGTGCACAAACATTCACACCTTCAGTCCAGGATACACTTGCACAAAACCATCTTTGTACTATGACGATGGTATCATCAGACCAGGCTTAGGGACCGTTAATAAATTATGGCTAGGGGGGTGGTGGTGATGATTTTTATCGAGAAGCATGTACAATGTGAAACAACAACCCCAGCACCCCCTAAAATGTATGCACAAAATAAGTGACCCCCTGCATGTCATGTACAAAATCAAGGACACCCCCACCCCCCAGTACATGTGTACACAATTACATAATTGATTACCACCTCCCCAAAACAAATGGGTGAACCCCACCCCATTAAAATCATCATCACACCCCTCCCTACCCATAAATTATGAACGGTCCCTTACACCAGTCATAGCATTATGTTTGCTTTGTGCAAGTGGGCTCGTGTGAAAATGAAATAAATGACACAGATCGTTCACTTAAGTCACAAAATTTTGATGTTAAAAGGAATAAAGGTTTGAACAAAAATCCACAGTAATGTTCTGTTACAGTCAGCCATGTGAAATATTTGTACTACTGTCTTATCCAAGCATGAGTATAAAATCATCTTAAAGCTTTTTCTAGCTACTGAGTGAGTGAGTATGATTTTACACTGCTTTTAGCAACATTCCAGCAATATCACAAATGGGCTTCACATATTATACCTATGTGGGGAATGAAGACCAGGTGTTCGGAGAAAACACTCACTCCCTTCTAACTAATGAATGAGTAAATACTGCTTCATCAGCAGTTTTTTTTTTCACTTACTGTTTCGTAAGTATACCAGTCAGTCTTTGAGAGTGCCTTAGTCACTGATTTCTCACTGCTATCACAGCTGTCCTCGCTAGACCAGGGCACATAGTTGCTGCTTAAACTGTACTGGGTTTCAGTCAGCAAACCTAAGAGAAACATCAAATTGTTATAGTAAAAACTCCTCCAAGATTGTTACTTTTATTAAACCAGATGTGCAGTGACTGATTCAACAACACTGTTGGCAAATATATACATGCAACCTTTCTTATGTTGCCAATGCCAAGACTATTTCTGTAAATGTTTGGATACAATTCCAGACATGAATTATTCTACATAATGAGAAAGTATAAACTTTGCCAACTGCGATACAACTCTGAAAAGTTTCTGAGAATTAGGAGTCTGGGATTTTATTCAAAATTATTTGGCCCTAAAAATGTGTAAAATAAATACTCATTCGTCAAACTGGTGAATAAAATAAGAATACTTGACAATGAATACATTGTTGCATGGTGTTCACAGAAAAACTAAAATTGTATCTAGTTTTTCTAACTGAAAAAAACCCAACCCATCTGGTCTCTATACAAAATCCCAGGCACCTACAAGAATATGAAATAACACCTAAGGGTTGGTAGTCGGACAATGTGGATATTTTTAAGGATATAATAAAGATAAATTATCAGGGGTTTAAGGATATAATGAAGATGAGATTGAGATAGAATAAGGATGTAATGAAATGAAGATATCAGGGTTGCATAAAGAACCTATCAAGATGATATGAAGATATAATGAAGATATAAAGAACCTATCAAGGAGATAGAATAAGGATGTAATGAAGATATCAGGGTTGGAGATAGAATAAGGATGTATAAAGAACCTATCAAGAAGATGAGATGGAGATAGAATAAGGATGTAATGAAGATATCAGGGTTGCATAAAGAACCTATCAAGAAGATGAGATGGAGATAGAATAAGGATGTAATGAACATATCAGGGTTGCATAAAGAACCTATCAAGAAGATGATATGGCGATAGAATGAAGATGTAATGAATCAGAATTGCATAAAGAACCAGTCAGGTTCTCAAAGCAAATCATTCCTCTTTTATCCTAACCTGAGTTGGCCAGGGAGAACATAGTTCTGGCCGCTACGTAGGTGTCAGCTACAGACTTGACCATATCTGATGACGAGGTTCGAGGACGGTCCTCAATGAATGGCTGTTTCTTCAAAACTGGGGTGGTGAAGGTCTGCTGACTATCTAAGGATCGCCCTTTGCCAGAAGCACATGTTGTATTCGGATGAAGCTGTGCAATGATGTTGTTCCTGCGTCTGTGGAGATCAGTCAGTGACTGCATACCCTGGTAGAACAACAAGAAAGCACACAGACTTCTGAAATAACCTTCCTTAACTTTCAGGAGCTGAAACAAGATCTTGCCTTGTGATATATCCCTAACTCCAGGCAGCTTGAAAGGGTGGGACTGAGAACCAAAACAGACTATAGCAGCCACAACATGGTATTTTTGGGACTCACAATAACGTTTTGAAGTTCACTCAACAACATATGTGTTGATGCAATGAACGGAACAACCCAGGTATATGATACAGAACTTTCAGAGATGCCAAGCCTGACAACTCTGCTTCCCAAAAACACCATGAGCAGACTGACTACAGGCTGTTTTCTTTGGGATTGAATACATTTTGTTAAGTAAAACTGTCCAGCCAAATGAGAAGAGTTTAGATATGTTTCATTTGCCTTCTTAAAACATTTCACTTTTACCACATTTTCAACACTTTCTGCACAGAGAGCACCAACATTCCAAGCCGTCTTCCATTATCCATCAAAAAGATGGTACTATATTCACATTTACAAAACACTGATTTTCGACATAGGATTTATCATACACACATTAACAAACAAAATTATAAAAAGCTTGCTAAAAAGCAAGAATATATGTCAATGAAATCCTTTTAAAAAGTCACTCAAGAGGCACAAGGGAAGAGCAGAATTTAAAGTCAATTTCAAATAAAAGCAACGCCAAACAATCAAAAGGTATAATTAGTTGTCAGGGAAGCAGGACACATCAAGCATAGAGTGGAAACCCGTCGCTTGATGATTCCACTTTCCAGGACTACAATGTACTGATACCCACTAAACTACATCAATGTATTTGAGTACACTCATTTAGGATGTTTTAGGCATGCATCATCACGTTGAATATTTACTGTGATAGGATAGAAACTGCTTGAAGAAAATACCTCACGTTCAGGCATTAACCATTGACCTGAGAGGATGGTCATTTCACTTGCTGTCACCCGGCCGCATTCGCTGGATAATAATTCGCTGACCAATCATCCTTGACACTGAAAGAGTTCTAGATACGACCGCTCATCGGCCGCTGCTACCCCTGTGTTCAGGCAACCAGAGACTACCATTTTGTTCTGAGAAGCATTGCAGCATAGAAGATGTTTCAAGATTCGGTACTTCAGAATTGGAGATCTCAGGGCCAAGACTACAATTTGTAGTTTATATAAGTTTACTTGTTGTGTGTTCAAAGAGTGCAGAGGATGTCATAAATACAATTTTTTATACAGCCACTTACTTATTTGCTAACAAAAATACATGTTAAAAGTCCTTTAATGTAGTTTCACAAATGTTAATGACAAGATGATCAAATATCCAAATTTTAAATTCATTTTCAAAGTGAACAAACTTCCCTTAACAGCAATGTTCTCTGTGCTAACACTGATGGACACCATATTTTCACTCAAAGGCCAATAATAAAGATCTTTTCCTTCCCAACAAAAAAACAGGGAATTCTTGATTACAAGCTGCAATTAGAATGAGCAGCAAAAACTGTTACGATTAAAATCCCAAATCTTATTCTCAATAAGAACAGAGCTAAAAAATTCTTGGCCCAAATAAATCATTCCTAATTTTCCAAGTAGTTCGACATTCATTAAAATATGCAAGTGTACATGTGCACATATGAAGTCTTGCATGCATGCACACATGCGCACACTCACACAAATACCCAAACACAAGCATCCATCCACAAACACACACATCACTAGAGTGGAAAAATGTAGGACATGATTTATTTAGGCCCTAATTAAATTCAAAAAACTTTATTCTTTTTCTTTTAATTCCCAGCTTTTGGTTGGGCATCACATGATTGGGGAGCACACAATTTCTTCGGGAATGGGGACCTGAACACGAAGGCAACAGGGAGCAGTCAGTTAGTGACACTGTCATACATCCTATCGTGCCATAAAACGTTCTGTTTGGCTGCTCATAATACCTCACAATCAACAATACTTGATTAACAGTTCAAGATGATGGAAAGACGCATGTACTCTTTATCTCAACATTTGAAAACTAGCTGACAGACCGCATTCTCCTAAACAATTGTTAGCAAAACCCACCAAAAGACCACCAACCTGTGACCCTACCTGGTTGCTAAAGACAACAAGCAGGAATAACCACAGATCGTAGCTATGGTTTTCGTTTTTGTACACTGGTTGTACATCAGCAGGTAGGTCAGTCCTGGTAGGTGTTACCAACAGATACTCACGATTTGTCAGGATTCTGGATCAATATGAGGTTTGAAATAAAGGCTTGGCAACAGCTCGCCACTCATTCACATATCGCCTATTTGGTTCCTCTTGCTGTCTAAATAGTTACATGCTTGGGAACAAGGCAGTCTGCTCATTGCATATTTTTTCTTTTCCTTGACAATTACGACCAGTCTTTCATTTTGCTGGAAAGGTTCATTTACATCTGCATATTTCACTTATGCATCTTGGCATTCACATTTGTTTTGTTTGTCATTTCCAATAGTAAGTTGATAACCATGATTTACTGCATGCGATGTTGACTGGTATTATCAGATAAGCAGGTTTTTAATAAGGTGAAGTCTCTGCATACATGCATGCAGTGTATCTTGTATGATGTAGGACATTGTTTGGTTCAAATTCAACATGGATGTTGTGGAGGTTCCTTCCAGAACACAAAAGTCTTATGTTAAATATCTACTCCATTTCCTGGTTCAAGGATTAAAATCAGGTAAAATCGGTTATCTGGACTGTACAGAATAAAAAAAAGTGTATGTGCATGTACAACTAGACAATATCAGATCTCTACATCAAAATTTGTTACATTTGACAAGTTCACATTGAAAAAAAACAAAACTAATAAGGAACAAACATCTAGAAACTAAATCCAGTGAGAACCAATGACTTCATTCTTTGATATTTTAATTTACATTTCTGTATTGAATGAAACATTAAAATATCCTGGAATTTTAAACAAATAAGGACTGCATGAAAGTTATGTTAAAAGTTAATTTTCAACACAATTCCATGGTCTCCACTTTCATCTGTTAAGGGCACTCAGTTTGGAATTCTAGATAAATCCCTGATAGTGAATGTCATAAGCCATAATGTGGAACATCTGAAAGACATTCCGTAACCATTCCCTAGTTATCAGTGTGCCAAGTAGACAAGTCGACATATAGAGTTCAACAGCTTCCTATCTTGCCTCAGGAAGTGAATATTCTTGTTGTGGTCCTTATGTGGGGCAGCTTGGCAAAATGGAACGGTGTGAATGACCTTTCAAAGCTGTGTATTATCAAAACAGGGCAAAACAACTGCACAAAAAAATAGCCACATTTATTTGATCCTTTACACATTTTATTACAAAATGAATCAAAAGCATGCAAGTAGATATATCTAATATTATGATAATTTTTTAGAATAAAATAATTTCATTAAAACCTCTCTGTACAAGTTCAAAGATTAATCAGTCATGATTGAATAAAAAAATCACATGCTATGTACAACCTATACCGCTGATGAAAAATTATCTTCAGAATATAACGTCAAGTAATATAGGCAATAAACTGGACAGTCAGTAAAACAAACTTGAAACCTAATGTCTATGTGTATAAAATTATTGACTTCTTAATTTTCTTCAAATAGAAGAACCATTGCCTTCCAAGGGAAGAACATGCCTTCAGTCTCAGTTAGTTGCCTAACTCCCTTACTGAAATACTTGCAGATTTTATTCCCAGTATGGGAATTTTCTGTTTCATGAAACAAATATAAGTTGTTTCCACCAGAAAACTGATGAAATATTACTTGAGTTTCAAACACAGTGCATGTCTCAAACTCACTCTATGTGAGACAACTTAAAAAAAATGTCTCGACCATTAAATCCCTCAAAAGTGATCGGGACGTTTCAATATGAACAAGAAATGGAGTTTTGATGCAAAACTTTACCAAGCTAATACCTTGAAAAGTCTACACAACATGTATATATGCTTATTCATACCAGTAAGTTTTTCTTTTAATCAAAGGCATCCTTTGTAGACACAATATACTTATCGCAAATACATATTCGTACACCTTTCACAAATCATTTTCACAAGTATTCATTATTTCAAGGGAGCACACATGGCAAAATATTTGATGCAACCATGTATGTAGAGAAGATGGAATGAAAGGAATTGAAAATCTGTAGATACATTATCAAACATTTGCTTTAAGAAACTAAACAAGCATATATATACATAATGTAATGTACAATGAATGAATGTACAGACTTGACAAGCAGCTATCGTTTGTTCCCTATTTTAAGCATCACAAACATACACAATATCTCAAAAATCAAAATATATCACATAAAGTATTTTGGTAGATTGGGGGCAAATGTCTGTAACTCCAAAAGTCAAGGTAAAACCATACATGATACTTTGCACTTATGACTAAGCAAATTGTTGAAAGCACAGCACTAATATGCTCTACCACCTCCTATCAGGTACATCATTCCTCATTTGAAATGAGTTTCAGAGGTAATAACTATGTATCTGTCTTTTCCAGCATAAGAAAGCACTAATGAAATAACTGGACATGATGACGCGGATATCTGTTAGAGCGTGGCATCCCCTGATTCGTCTAAGTCGTCGTACTTGTCATCGTTGACACCTTCCTGGCTATACTGAACATGCAAGTTTTGTAGTGGATGGGAGCCAGGGTCAGGGGACATGTGGGTCATGACCCTTGACCCATGAGTTGGATAGTGGGATTGTGGGGGGTAATATACAACATTTAAGCCGTGAACCGCAGTTGGCCCACGCTGGACAAAGTAACTGTCGTAATTCTGAAAGAAATGACACATGGTGAGCCATGGCCCTACACACACACAGAACATCATCCAACATAATGAACATCCTTTGCTACAGAGGACATTCAACATCAATTCATGATTCCTGTTCAACTCTAAGCCTTGTCAGTCCTTACACTAACAGCCCCTAAATGTTGCACTACTGTTACACACTGTTCACTCTTTATATAGTGTATTTGGTGACTGGGGGACATGGTTGGAACACTTCCAGTAACCGGAGAGTGGACAACAGTGAGCCAAGAGCTTCATCCAAGGGGCTACAAGAAAACATCCCAAGATGGTCGCCATGAGAAGTACTATCATACACAGCAGCCATTGAGACCATGTGATTCACCTTCAGTTGTAAAGCAAATGCATATCAAAACTCAACATCAGCATTTAGAAACCTGCCTCTGCACAATCTATCAGACTGAATCCTCCAAGGGGAAATATATGCAAGTTTGTTGGGCCTATCTCATTATTGGTAGGGTTAAGCATCAAGACTTCATTCTCCCAGAGACACTAAATATAACAACTTAACATGACTAATCCTGCCCAAAAAAGTGATTAAATGACTTTTGAAATCTTATAGCTGAGTTTAGGGTAACATGATGATAAGCGCAGGTCAAATGGCTAACACATCTGATTGTGTATCTCTACCACAATGAACAACACCAAATAAATTTCTCCCACAGATCACAAACATAAGTTGGAACTTGTTGCACAACTTTTGAATAACAGGAAACGAAGAAATCATGGCATATCAACCCAAACTGTTAACCAATCTTCCTAACATTCTTCGACTAAAAGTCAGGGGTATTCATATCAGCATCTATTTGACGACACTCGTCAACTCTAAATTGAGAACAAACTACATAGACCAGCTTAGATTCAGTTGTCCTGAGACAACATCCTCATCCAAATACTTGATAAGCAGAGAGCAACTTTTCAACACCAACCAATCAAAAGTATCCACTTAGAGATACAATATGGGCATTAAAACCCATAGAGAGACACTCTTCAAGACTAAAGCCATGTTTCAGAGTCCCAGAGATGATAATGAATAAATCATGAAGATTTATGAGACAATCATATTTCAACATACAAGAAATTAATTATGATTGTTTATTCCAGTCTCAACAATTTCCTATTTTGAACATAATCAAATGTTCTGGACTTGTATGTAGAAATTTGATATGAGGTTTCCTGTTAAGTAAATCCTTGAATAGAAAGACAGCGGAATTACAAAATTTACCATCCCATTACAAAATTAATCTCATACTGTAAATAAGACAATGTTCAGCACAAATAAACAGGGTTTGACAAAGTGTTTTGTCTAAATCCCCATCATGACCAGTTCAAACATTACTGAAAACCTGTAAAACAGCTGACTTGGAACAGATGAATGAAATATCTCAAATTTGCATGATTTCATGTCAAATGTACATGATTTCATCATGATTACTTCAGATATTTACACATTTTTCTGTTCAGTAATTAAAAACAATAATGAGGACACTGATGCAGTCTGCCAAAACCTTTCGAGTCTATTAGTTATTATGATTTTCAGTAGAACTCAGTGTTAATGTGTGAACCATATTAGCAAAGCCTTCAAGACCAAAATCTATTTTACTAAACTCAGACTTCAGACTAGTTGCTGAAGACCTGATTACTAATATCTTTCCTGAAAAGTCCAGCCCACCTTGTTTTAAAAATGACAGGTTTTATTAACAATGGCCTGCATTTGTACTGTGCCCATCTGATTTGTCGAATCCTGTTTCACTTCGATGGAGAAATTTCTGAATTATTCCTTCAGCCTCTTTGCTAAAAAACATTAAAAACTAACTAACTTTGCAGGAAACCAGTGGTCAGTCACCATTGTTGTGAAGATTATATTTACCCTCAATTAACTGGAAAGCTTCATGTTCATCTATTCAAGGATTTACAGGAATCTACAGTGCCGTGTATCATATGAAGACCCAATAAAAGTATGTACTGAATGCAGGTGATGATGATAACTAATCATGAATCAACAAATACAAATAGATAACATTGGTAAGCTGAAGATAAAAATTACAAGAAGCATGACTGTCATCCCACAGCTCACGGAAGGAAAACAAGGTTATTTTCTTTGTAAATTTGTAAGAAATCAAGTTTAGGCATTAACATCATTTCCCATGAATACAAAGTTATTACACTTATAAATTGGTAACAAATCAAATTTAGAAAATAGAACAATTATTCAATAATAAGCTGTCATTTAGGTAAAGGTTCTCAAGTTTCTTTGATCTGTGGGACACAGGACACAATGTAACACCGTCATATTCTCTAGCAATACTGGAAACAGCAGCAGTTCATGTTGAAAGCTATAATGCTACACGTTTCACAACATTCCTCTCAGTTTTTGAATACTGTCCTACAGAGCGTTCAAGCATCCAAAAACCAAGATGGAATAGAAAAGTGTAAATATTGCAATATCAATGCCTATACTTACCATGAGCAAACCAATCAGGAAAAATGTGACACCTTACCTGGTATGGGCTTCCTGTTGATGGTGACTGGTATGGCGCTGCTGGCACCCCTTGGTAGCACATCGGGTAGTCAAAGGATGGCGGCAGAGATGTCCCGTAAGTGTTGTCGTGTGGGCTGCAGTAGTGCTGTGGTGGAGCGGGAGGCTGATGGTCACACATGACATAGGGGTTGCATGTGGGATCCTGCTGGGGGTGGTGCATTGTGGGATACTGTCCTTGAGGAACTGCCATTCTCTGGAGGCCTCGGTGAGCCATGTGATACTGAGGGTTTATCATCGAACCTTTCAAATATGGAAATATTTATTTAACCTTTAATCATTATAGTGAAATTGAAGGGTTTAGAGACAAAAGTCACTCTCAGAACGACATATCTATTAAAAAAACCCTCATGCTTGGTATATTTTTGTCCACTCTAATTAGGGGTGGGTATTGCAGAGAATTTTCATATTGCGATATATTGTGATGCAAAAGCATATATTGCGATTATCACAATAAATTGCAAGAAATTTTTTAAACTAACAACTACCTATGATCGAATTAAAACACAACAAAATCACTATGCTTGATTAAGCTTTGATAAAAACTTGTAATCATGATGAAACAAGGAAAAGAAGAATTTAGCATCAACACAGTGGTTACTAGTTTGAACTATTTTCTCCACTCTCAAAAAAAGCCCTGAGATTTAAAAAATTCAGATCCAAAACATTGTGAAACATTTGAACAAAAATTAAGAACACAACTTCAAAGCAAACTTAACTATACTTCCAGTGTGAAAAACGGAAATATCCGAAGATTTCCGAGTGTTACGATGTTTTCCGAATGCATGTCGTAATATCGGTTTTCGATCAGCGTATTGCAATACATACCGATTTCATGCTTGTATCGGTAAATCGGTTATATTGCGCAGCCCTAACTCTAATGGAATATACAGATTTTATATCTCCTTTACAGGAATCAAAAACATTACGGGTGAACATTCTCATGTATGCAAGGCTGGATGTATAGCACATTACACAAGAAATTTTCCCCCAAATGATACAACCACATACCTTCAACTGATGGCATTTCATAGGGTGACATTCGAGTGGCTCCCTGGGGCATACGTGTGTGGTAAAATGTTTCCTTGACAGCAGGTCCAGTTCCTAAACTGGGTTTGCGATAGTGTGCAGGTGTGGCCACACTTGGGGTAGGATTGCCCCGTGGTATCCCACTGTTGGGGCCAAGAGGGGCAGGTGAGCGATCCGAGGGTGGGTGCTGTCGGGGGGACATTGACAGAGTGTTGAGGGTGTGTGTCAGTGAGGTCACACCAGTGGAGTCAATCAGTCTGAAATTAAAAATATTCATTGCCTTACTCTTCAATGGGAAGACATACTGGAATTGATATATTAAGAGAAAGATATTTAACAATAGAAATAATTTACTACTAAATACTTCAATATGTGGATTAATGATACAGTGACATCTGATGTACCTATGTAGGGAAATCAAACCCAGGCATTTGGATTGATGAGCTAACACTTTATCCACTTGGCAACCCCACCGCCCTCTTCATCCTAATAATAAAGTTTACGAGAAAGACCTCTACATGTTTAAAAGTTTATACATGTTAATACCAAAGCTCAGCAAGATCAGAATTTCTGATATTTTGCAAACACCTGATACCTTTCTCTATTTTATATAGAAAACCATAAAGGGCAAATTTCACTTCTAAATTCCATATATAAGAGTGTTCTTAACCACAAGAAGTATCAGCTTCAAGAACCATCGAACTGCAACAGCATTATATGGAATGAAATCAGATGGAAATTGCTGACTCACTTGGGAGGCGTGTTTTCACTCGGGATCTTCCCTGTGCTGACATTGCCTGCTAGTTTTGAATAAGAGGCTAGTTTCTCATTTGTGACTTTGGTCACCTGGTCCAGCTCTGCCTTCTCTTTTGGGCTGAGGGCAGCAAATGTGGGCATCACTCCTGTCCCTTTCACGCCAAGCTTCTTACTGCGGGCTCGGTATCTGCAAGACAAGACAATATTGTATGGCTATGTTCAAGCTAGCATACCACTTAGGTGTAAATTATTTGTAGCTCTCTAATGACACGATGGATTAGTTCTTCAATGAAACCGCCCCTGCCTTTCACTGCAGGAATCTGAAGGGTTGATACAGTAGCCATGTTTAAATAATAGCACAATGAATATTTGGTTTCTCTGTCTAGGCTGCAATAATTATTACATCAGTTATTATATTATTAGCATTAAAATTTGAAATAGGAATATTCTCGCCAAGCCTAAACATAAGAAAGACAAAGGAGGTTTTAACACTGAGGTACTAGTGGGATAGGGCCAGGAAAGTCTTACTTCTCAAGTTCCTCCTGTGAGTGAGCAAAGGTGCATGAGTTGCCTCGCGGACAAATGCCACTTTGTGTCTGGTCGCGGCACATGCTTGTCTTGTAACGGGCATTCTGTAACGGAAGCAGCTCGTTCTTTTTCTGGCTGTAGTTGGTGAAGAAGTCGATGAGTGCCTGCACGACAGTTCTGAGGGCCTTGAGCACGGCTTCCAGATTCTCCCACGATGGGGGTGGGGCCTCTGTATATTACACAAAAAAGAACATATTTTAGCTACTGCCCATAACATTGAACCTAGGTTGAAGACTACATGTACAGTAACAATATACCTGGTTTAGGGTTTAAAGTTATGAAGATAGTAATTACCTGGGTTGGGGTCAATATTTGCCAGGAACTCCAGGTGAGGTCGGAGACGCTGCAGGTTACACGGGTCACCAGTTCTCTGGAGGGCAATGGCTAGTTCACTGATACTCTGGGAGAACGACTGTGGAGTCTGGAGCTGCACATTTCAAACATCCAATCAGAACACATACAAACATCCACCGAATGTTTCGAATCAAAATACAAAATATCTCATTACGCCAATATGAATAGCCTCACAGTACCTTTGCATCAGTATGATTCAAAAAAGTTTAATACAAGATGAAGTGTATAGAGGAATTTGTCACAGACTGAAAAACAGGTGCTCTTTAGTGGCAAATTGAGAACAAATCATTATGTTTGTGCTTGGCGCTTTTGTTAAACTGACTTTGTGCAATGAATACCTTAAAACTAAGGGAATCGTCTCATTTTGCCACCACCCTATTGTTCTGATTGCAAATGCAGTCAGCCATGATAAATGAGTGCACAATAGGGGGGCTAACTATAGTCTGTTATATTCATTGCCATGAAATGTGGTGGCAATACTAAATCAAAGCGTATAGTAGATAAGGAAACTGTAGATATACAAAATTGGATGGAATTTAACATTTTTGGCCTGATTCTTAGTTTTTAATGTTAATTTGAAGCAATTGTGGAGAGTGAAGGTTGAGCCACATGGAACCACTTCAATACCGATGGTGCCAGAACAACCAACTATGTCAAAGGCTGGCACAGCAAGATGAGTAAAATGGGACCATCACATCCAAATTTGTTCAAATTCATTAAATAATGCAAAATGAGTAAAGTAGCACAGAGCTTGTAAATAAATATTACCTCAGATTGACATTGTTCTTTTTCATAATTCATGTCAGTGGACTTGCAGTTTACATATACACACATTTACCTTACCAAAAGACGTTAGATGAAACAATCTATAGCAACAAATTCACTGATCTGTAGCCCTTAATCCATTAACACAACTTGCAGTTCTTTCTATACCATTCAGGGTGGTGGCAAACCAAGACCAAAACCAAACCAAATTACTGATCTGTAGCCCTTAAATCCACTAAAGCTTCTTTGATCATCTTTATTATCAGTTAACTTCAAGTCACCTCTAAAAGGCCACATAATTATTTATACAAAACATGAACTGGACGGGTGAATAAACATAGAGGGTAGGTTGATAAAATGGATGTGAGGAGGGGTGCATATGACAGATGGGTTAATGAGAATAATTGATAAAAGATGGATAAATGATGAATGGTAGGATGAGAATGATGAATAGCAATGTGGGTGGATAACGATGCGGTAGGGTAGATGAAAAGGATGGATGGACAGTGGAGGATGGCAGACAGGTTGATGGATGAATAGCTAACCTTGTCAATGATGGACTGCATGTGGGATTTGTGGCCTGTGTCTCCATATAACAGAGATGACCACTGTTCCGGGGAAATCCTAAGCCCTGCCTCCATAGCAATCTGGACAATCTGGGAGTCATGTTCCCGTCGTAACGCCTCATAGGTACGGAACTCCTCCTTCAGTTGCATCAGCGATGACTCTTCTTCTCTCTTTGTAACCTGTGAAAGGTATAAATAAACAAGCATTGTCACTAAGGTGACCTACTTCCCCAGCCACAAATTATCAAATCAAACTCAGAAAGTAATTAATGTGAAGGTTGTAGTTTAAGATGAAGTTAAATGTCAACAAAAGCATGAGCAGTCAACCTGCACCTTCCCTAGATAAAGCTTGGTCTCAAATATGAAGAAAATCCAGTGAATGGGTCTTGAGATATCTCACTGACAAGCTTAACATGCAGGTTTACATGCTGAAATCTTCAAAGTTGTGCCGTGACCTTTAAAACTATGTGAAGGTCACCAAAATCGACTGAGCCCTGCGCCTTCCCAAGATAAAGCTTGGTGTCAAATATGAAGATAGTCCAGTGAACGGTTCTTGAGATATCTTGCTGACAAGGGTAAAACGTTAAAGTCCGCCTTGTGACCTTGAAATGAAGGTCAAGGTCACCAAACCTGACTGGGACCTTTTGCATACTGTGATAAACCTAGGTACCAAATATGAAAATAATTAAAATATTCAAATTCGTATGGACCAACAGACGGACGGACCCTAATACTATATCCCCCGCATCGCGCTAAACGCACAGCAGGGGATAATTAAGCAAGGACAATGTACTGGGGACATAGGTTGTAGCTGTATCACTATACCAAGCTGTGCAAACAGGAACAAGAAACAGTTGTTACCTTAAAACAGGAAGCTCTATAGAGAAGTTGTACAACATGTCCGATAGCAGTCTTGGAGGCTTGAGGGTAGCTGTCTTCTAACTGCTGAACCACAAACAGCACCAGCACCTTCCTGGACAGTGATGACGCATCCTCCAACACCAGCAGGATCAGCTTCAGAACCTCCTCCTGCATGGCTGACAACAACACCCACACTCAGACAACAGGCAACTCTGGGTTCATGACTCAAATAAACAAGGTGACATAGTAGAAATTTGTTATCAATTGTAGGTCCATGTTAAGCTTTGGTTACAGCCACCTTAAAAAATCACTTCATACAATGGCACCCAAAACATGACCACTGACATTATTTTCCCCTTGGCTTCCACAATTTCAAGTGAATTCAACTTATAATTACCCTACCACCAATATTCTGTGTTACAACGTTGATGAAGGTAATGTGACACATAGCAACTAATAAAAAGGTTCCTGTTTAGGGAAAACAGATTATTACTACTATGTTCGGGGAATACAACCTTACGAGGGACTGATAAAACCCCATATTTCCCTCGACACGATGTGATAACGCATTTATCTAGCTGAATGTTTTTACTAAATCAAAAGAAAACAAAACCCTTCGACTCGACTTGTTTTTATTCATGTGAGATGCCACGGTTCACAGATTCCGGGTCACGGTCACAAGTCAAAGTTCACTGGAAGGGAGTGTTCATTTTTTTTAAAACCCTTCATTTTTTAAACACAATGTTAACATTTTGAATGTTGCAATTTGAAAATATTGCCGGTTGAGTCGTTGATGACTGGGCGTTGTCAGGAAGAGGAAAATCATCAAAGAGCTCGTCTAAGTTGACATCTTTCAAATCGGCTGGAAGTTCCGGTGATGTGGTGACTGATCTATTCAATGACACCTCCCGTCTCGACACAGTACAAGATGGAGATGGAGCCTGAGTGCACGTGGTTTTCGCTGCTGCGCCAAAACTTCTGGACAACGCAGAACTCATTGACATCTTCTCCTGATTGGACACACATTGATATACAGTCAAAGAGTTCACACTGTGACCAGTTATGCTCATTATTTGCACACTGGCGAAATTGCTTCGCATCAGAATCGTGGCTCCAGTCGCTCAGATGCAGTGGTTGCTGTACGTCGTTGATAAGGACGCCGTTTCGCTTAACTGGGTCATGAACTTTGAAAGTGTGTTCTTTCCCATCGGCCTATTGTTGTACCATGTCTGCTCGTCTGGAGAAAACGCATCCTTTGGATATTGCCACAACCTGTCATTGTTTGGATTGAGCTTCTCTGTGTATTTCACGTAGGATGCTACTGGACAGGCAGGGTTACCGGGTTGCTCAACCATGATAGCTCCCACGGATTCTGCGTCATATCGATGATTTTTGGTAAGTTCACCTTCATTTCGTTCTACATAACGTAGTCCAGGGTTGGTGACCACACGGAACGTCAATTTTGTCATATTATCCATGTTTTCTGCCCCCCATCGACAGAAATACAATCTAATGTCGATTTGCACTTTGTTGGCCAGTCCAACAGGGGTGTTAGGGTTTAGGTGTAACGACTTGTACAGTTTCTGTCTGTCAGCCTCTACAATGATTTTTTTGTGTTCTGTATCCCCCTTTCCAGCTGCTTTTGTTTCTAATTTCATAGTTTTGAAACACTCATTGGCCCCATTAACCCATTCAACACCGCAGGCCGAAATATCGGCCACAACGTTATGAGTCCCCAGACAACGGAGGCCGATTAATCGGCCAGGCAGTAGTCACGTCAAAATGAGACATAATTTTAGGAACCTACCTGACTTTTGATTCATATATCAAATCTATCACATTTCACAATGTCTGAAAACACTTATTAAATTTCAATTTATCATATATTATCAGCAGAATTAAAATTATAAACTATTTTTCGCAATGTTATTGAAAACAACGATTCTCGGACACATGCTTGGCAGCGGGTCCACAATAACATTGTCAAAGAGCAAAGTAACGATGTTTCGAGGAAATTATTAAATAAATTGAATAAACTAATGAATAAAATCAACAACAGCATTCATAAAAGTTGTCAAACGTACATATAAAATTACTATTTCCATCGTTTTGTGCGATCATGTAATGCAAGTCAAGTCACATCTCGGCTCTCGCCGCCTCAATCTTCACGCTCGGACACGATGTTTAATGCGAAAATACATACATGAAGCATTTTTGTCACAGGTCATAACCTAGCACGATACACCCAATAAGTTCCATAATTTACGTATAGGTAGCGATTTCTTGCTTAATATGTTCAGAATAGCATTATTTTACCCAAAACATTTGTCAAAATCTGAAAGTTTTCGTTTACGAGGCCGGTATCCATTGCCGTAATATGATTGGCTGCCTTAGGTCACGTGTCTGATTTTGACCAATCCACGACCCTTATAGCAGACTGTGGCGAAAAGCGTCATTAGAAACCAATCTTTATCAATAAAATGCGCTTCTTACAACTGTGAAAATACTCTTGGCAAGGGTACAGTGATATTGTTGATGTTCAGAGCTTTGAGCGATGCCCAACATCAAACGATTTGCAGCATGTTATTCATACGAAGCTTCCAAAACGGAGGTATTTTCAGTTGTTATGTCATTTTACCGAGCGGAAAGCCACAGATATCGGGAAATAGGCGACCGTACATATTGTTTAAGAAATCTTTTTATAATAATTTTCTGATTACGTAAAAATGAAAATATACAAGAAAAAGGCACGGCCATGTTATGACATGTCACAAATGGAAAAAATCGCCGTAGTTTTTGCTCCTTTCGTGGTTTATCTGGACGTTATAAATGTAAGCTTGCATTTTCATTCAAATATGTAATTTTTTTAGTAAAATTGATATTTTATACTTATCCTGACTCATGCTCTTTTGCTTGTCTTCTTCTTCTTGAGAACATAGTGGAACACTTGTATCTCCTTAATTGAAGCTCCCTTCAATTTAAAATCACTAATTGGTACTCACCCAAGAGTTGCCTCCCTTGCCGTAAGCGCGGGAACAGGTGTCGCCACCCTCTGGCCTCATGCTTCACTCTCTCCTGATTTTGCGAGCCCAACACTTGAATTTACAGGGAAATCCAAAGTGTTATGTGGGGAGGATGGGAGGGCTAACCTCATGAGTCAGGATAAGTATAAAATATCAATTTTACTCAAAAAATTACATATTTTTCCTTATCCTGACTCATGCTCTTTTGCTTGTAGAATCCTCGAGTGGAGGTGGGCATAAACAGAATACTTTGGATTTATAATTAGTGATTTAAATAACTTATACTGTAATAACCCCTGCGGGAACTTCATAAAGGCATTGACTTAGGATATTTCCTCTATAATAAGCCATAGGTTATATATTACCATAACTGGGGTATTACATTACTCATATATTGACATACCAAATTATATAAATAGATATAAAAGCGACTCTGATAGAGAAGCTGTACAACTGAACATAAAACTCAGTATGAGCTTAAGGTTGAATAACCTAAGCTAAGTATATACATAGCCCTAGAACTCTGTAGAGTTATAAGCTAAATAATGTATGTATAATATACATAATAATCTCGTGGGAGTGAATATTAACACCTACGAGGGACTGTCAGTTGCTGAGCGAGGACCAAAGGACCGAAATGGTGAATGCCAGAGACGTCCTCGGTGGTGATATCTCTCAGATAGTGATTAGCAAACACCATGTTAGATTTCCAGAAGCATCCTTCCATAATTGTATTCAATGAACAGTTACCGTGTAGGGCGAGAGTGGAAGCCAATGCCCTGATTTCATGGGGATTTGATGCTGTTGGAGGGTCCAGTCCTGCTGCCTTGTAGGCGCTGTGAGAATGACAGTCCTTATCCATATAGATATGGTGAGTACGAAGAGACTTCTGTCTGATTAGTAGGCGATAAAGGTATGAACAATCTTTTGAGCGATCTTCAGCCTTGTTTTGGAGCGGCGTAAATAGATTTTGAGAGCTTTCATTACTGGGCATAGCGATAAGTCCAATGTATCTTGAGATCCGAGAATCGAGGATAGTGCAGGAGGCGATGAAATAACCTGTCTGGTTGGCCTGGTAGTTGATTTTTGGCGATGAAATCCCATCTTAATCCCAGATGCGCTGTGTTTTGATTGTCATCAAACTGTATCCTCTCATAATCTAGAGCGTGAATTTCAGATATTCTGGCTGCCGTGGCTAGAGATAACAGGAAAATTGTTTTCTGTGAGAGAAATTCAAAGGTTGTCGATTCCAACGGTTCATAATCCTCACTTGTGAGGTGTTGTAGCACTACATTCAGATCCCAAGCTGGGGCGTGGAACTTCCGCTTTTGGTCCTCCAATCGGAAAGCACGTAGTAAGGCCAGTAACTCTGGTGTTTTTGTCAATTTAACACCCGTTCTCATAGAAATCACAGAACTAAACGCGGCAAGATATGTGGACAATGTCGAGCCCTTTAAATGTTTGTTTTGCCGTAAGTAACACAAATAATCTGCCACTTGTGGATGCGTAGCATCTCTCGCTGTAAATCCCTTGTTTGCTGCGTAATTTTGAAAACTGTGCCACTTGTTAGATGCGTACAAGGATTCACGAGTCGAGTATTGTAAAGCAAAGCGTGACCGCTTTTGCGCCCTGGTAGAATATCCTCTCTTGTTTAAACACATTTTAATACAGTCCATCATTGAAGTTTGAATACTTCTGGGTTTCTGTGCACCTGTTTGGTGTGTGGATGTATTAACAGATTTGGCTTGGGTAGCTCAAGTGCGGTTGACCCGATTTCTTGTATTAGAATGGGAAACCACGTTCTAAGCCGACCAGTAGAGGCGCTGACCAAAGTGAGTTGTAGGCTCTGTGTTTGACTGATTTTCTGTAACACTTGAGGTATTATTGCTGGGGGCGAAACGCGTGCGCATTGAGGCCTTCCCATGATATGCTTAGGCGTCCGTTGCCCATGCTTGTGGGTCTGGAACTGGTGACACACGAATGTCGGTAGCTGATTGTTGAATCTTGTGGCGAGAATAGATCTACTAGCGGCTCCTATTGCTTGATTATCTGTGCAAATATCTCTGTATTGAGCATCCATTCTGTCGGGCGACGGTAGATGTGGTCGAGAGAGTCGTCTGCTAGTATATTCCTGGCTCCGGGAATGTGGCATGCTTTGACATGTAGATTTAGATCTTGGATTAATTCGAACAGTTGAAAGGTTAAAGTCAAAAGGTTCGGCGATCTCGTTGAGCCTTGCCTGTTCACATAGAACGCCACTGTCGAGTTGTCGGTATGAATCATTAGGTGCGCATTCTGTAGAATTGTGCTCCAATGCCTTATGGCGTTGATTACAGCTTTCATCTCTAATGAGTTTATGTGGAGCTTGCTTTCTAGCTGATTCCATAACCCTGATGCCGTCCGGTTGGTGAGATGAGCTCCCCAACCTTGGAGCCGACGTGTCTAAATATAGATGGGTTTTGAATTCCTGCTCTGCTAAACAAATCCTTCGCGAACATTCGATTTCTTGGTCCACCATAGTAGATGAGGTCTGAGATGTTTGATAGACTGAATGGTTGTAGGTCAGTCGAGATGTGTGTGTTGATGAAGACCTGTAAGGGACGTAACTGTAATCTGCCTCTGACTGTCAAGTCTTGGGCTGATGTTAGAAGACCTAGTAAGCTCTGCCATTGTCGAAGTGGTAGCCCGGAGAGAGTAGGGCTGGTGGAATGGTCTGTTGGATCTTGAGCCAACGGTCTTCTGTCTGACGATCACGGTTGAGATTGGTGATAAATCGAATGCCTAGGAATTGCAGATCTTGCGATGGTACTAGGTCCGACTTGAGTAAGTTTACTAACCATCCCAGCTGTGTTAGTAGCTTTATGATGTAGTTTAACTGTAGTTTGAGATGCTGTGGATCTTGATCTACTTGTATCCCGTCGTTGAGGAAGAAGCACTCGTAGCCCTTGGCGATGTAGATAGGTGACAATCGGTTTACGTTATCCTCGTGAATAACCATGGGGCTGATGATATTCGAATGGGAGTACTTTCCACTGGTAATGTAGCCTGTCTAGTGTAAACCGTGAGGTATTTCCTGGATTAGGGATGTATAGGGATGTGCAGATAAGCATCTTGTAGATCTATACTGCCCATGTAGTTCATGGGGCGAACCATGTGCCAGACTCGGTAGATGTATCATCGCGGAACCTCGTGGTCTCGTAGATAAGTCTTGTTGAAGAAGCTCATGTTGTAAATGAGTCTGTATTTCTCCTTGGAGTTTTTCTTGGGTACTAGGAAAACTGGGGAGTAGAAACCTGGTTCGATGTTTCCTTGATCTATTACTTCTATGGCCTGCTTGGTTAGGAGTAATGTAACAGCCTCTCTTAACTTTGGTAGTTGCCAGTGCTGTGCCTGTCATTCGAACTTGTGAGGGTTGACTGTCAGCGGAGGCTTGGCCTGTAGTGGGATCACGAAATCCGTGTTGAAGAATGTTGGAGACATAGGTGTCTTGAAGCATTCCCCAGTTTTCCCAGTGTAGTTGGAGACGTCCACCCACTTGTGACGGTTGTACTGGAGCGGCTGGGGTGGAAGACTCCAGTCGTTCGAACCTGTCTTTCAGCGTTTATAGTTGCGGGGAACCTCTGGGTGTCCTGCCTCTTCCTGACCCTCCTCTATAGTTGCCATATGGTGACCGAAAAGAATCTCTTCCCTGGAACTGGCTATCTTCCTGTCTCTTGCTCTTTGTAGGCCCGTGAATTTAGATCTCCTGAGTATCTTTGTGAAGTCTGTCGAATGACACTGGCTAGCGTGTCCATCGATTTAATCATCAGGACTTCTCTGGAATCCTTGGTGACTTCCTTGGAGACTTTGTCTATTCCTCCGTCAAAGATGGATGGGGAAGACCAGGGGCTGTATATAGTGGAGCTGTAAAGTTCTCACCCCAGTTGCAGGAGGCGGCGAATAGCCTTGACGACAAGCTAAGGTCAGTGCTGCTGAGACAGGCGTGAGATGATCTGTTAAGAACTGCTGGTCCTTCTTTTGCATCAGTAGGGCCGAGTAAATCATTCTATCATCTTCAGAGAGTCGTGTATTCACGAAATCTGGTGATAAGTGTCTCATTGATTGTTCTAGATCTGTTTAGACCAAAGAACATACGTCTCGTCATGGTTTCTATCTGAACCAATTTTCGATCATCAATCTTGTAGTTCTTGTTCTTGGCATCGGAGATCAGCTTGTAGTTCTCATCGATGTCTTGAGCCTTGAAGAAGGGTCCATATTATCGTGGAGAACTTCTTGGCGTGAAAGTTTGGCAGATGTGGTGTCTGAACTTTCGGTGGCTTTGTGGAATGCTGTATCTAGGTTCTGTGGTACGCCGCCAACGGGTCCGATTGGGGTAGTGTGATAGCATCTGCATCGTCTTCTTTCATCAGGTATGTCTCTGCCGAGTTGCCACTCTTGGAAGGTGATGAGAGATCTAGATTATTGACCATCCAATATCTTATCTCTGCATCTGAGAAAATAATTCCTCCATCATCTTCCATTCCATCATCATTAATGAGAGGTTGTTGCTCTTCTGATGTTGGACTGTGTGGCTCTATCTCTATATCGTTTGACGCTTGTGGAGATCTGGTTGTAGGCTTGTGTGCAGACCTGTGAGGTGATCGGCGATGGTGATGTACGTGGAGATCGTGGTGGATCGGCCGAGGCGATCGTCTTGGTGATCTACATCGATAGGTTGATCTTCTTGGAGACCTGTGAGGGGACCGTTGGTAGCTTCGCGAAGCTCTTGTGTAGTCCCTCGATGTCCTTCTAGATGATGATGATCTGGGTTCAGGCGTCCTTCGCGAATGCCTTCGCGAAGCTTCCTCTGCGTCCGGTCCTGGGGAACGGTGATATGACCTTCGCGAAGGCTTCCGTGAGGTCTGATGATCAGATTCCGTATCTGAGTATGGCGCCCCGAAGAAGGTGATGATCTTTCCCGCCTTCGCGAAGGCCTTCGCGAAGGCTGTACATCTGGGTCCTTCGTCGAGGTGGTCTGTGACTTCCTTCGCGAAGGCGGCAAGGCTCGGACCCTGGGATGGCTGCTTCTCCAGTCTGTAGTGGCCTTCCATCATGATCATGATCTGCTTCATTAGATCGTCTGGGATGATCTGCGACGAAGTAGATGGTGCCCTCTCTGCGCTGTTAGCGGTGGGGCCCTCAGAGATCTCGTCTGACATCAGTGTAGAGGCATCAGGCTGCATGGTGATCTCTGCTGAAGTCACTGTCGCTGTCACTGGTCGCTTCTTGTGGCGTATGTCGGGTATGATGATCAGCTGGTCATCGTAGAGGCCCAATTCTGCTGCTGGAACGATCTCGGCTGAGAAAGTTCTCGACGACTTCGTAGATTTCCCTTTAAAGGATGACGCTGCCCTGGGGGTACGAAGTCTGCGTTGAGAAGACGTTGAGGCCCTCTTGGACTTTATCTGCGATGACGGGATGGGAGGGGGTCGCTCGACAGCAGCTGACTGGATGGGAAATCCGATGTATCGGCCATGTCTACTCCTAGTTTGCGTGACCTATCTGCAACACGTCTCAAGACGCAAAGATGGTATTTATTAAAGGCAGAATTGGTTAAATTAATGCAGTAACTGCAACGTGAATCAAACGCACAAGGCGTAGTACAACTAGGGCATACTACATTCGGATCAGCAGCGGAAAAACGTAATCTACAAATAGTACAGTTTTTCATCAACCTAATACTAGCTGAACAATCACGAACTCACGTGCATAAACAGTAGAAATACGATTAATTATCAATGCAAATTAATGAAGGATACTAGCTATACCTTTATAGTAAACTATAAGAGGTAACTAACTAAGAAAACCAAAGGATATAGTGTGTAAGGAGACACAGGCGCTCTCGCATCCTGCTCACTGGGCAAAGAAGGAGAGAGTGAAGCATGAGGCCAGAGGGTGGCGACACCTGTTCCCGCGCTTACGGCAAGGGAGGCAACTCTTGGGTGAGTACCAATTAGTGATTTTACATTGAAGGGAGCTTCAATTAAGGAGATACAAGTGTTCCACTATGTTCGCAAGAAGAAGAAGACAAGCAAAAGAGCATGAGTCAGGATAAGGAAAAATATAGATTTATTTAAGTTTTAGTTGTATTATTTGAATAATATTATAAAAATAAACTTCATATTTATCAACAGTAGGATTAGATCTTTTAAATGGTGTATGGGATGTAGTAGCAATAACGTTTTACAAGCTTATAATTTCCTTCATAAACATAGGCTTCATCTATGACCTAAGGGTCTCTGGGAACTCAGTGTCATGGCAGTAAATGCCTCTGGTTGACTGGTGTTGAAAGAGTTAAATTCACTGTCCTTTATTATGTCAAAATTTCTATTTTGGGGGGGACTTTTCAAATATCTGTTCAGACTATAGCACACGGTGTCGAGGGTAGAACCTTTATATATCTCGCCTTTGTTTGTTCTAATGTCCATGTAGAAATGTCGCAACGTGGCATTCAGCCGTCTGACTTCATAATGTTCAAAGTTAGGGTCCATTTCTTTTTCTGTCAAGTAGTCCCGTAATAATTTTGCTGCGATGTCATTGGCCCTTTTGGTGTTCCTTGGAACAACGTTAGAACGTTTTGCTTCAATTTCATCCTCAGTTGTTGTGGCAAAACGTTTCCTTGCTGCCATGTTGACACCATCTGATCGATTGACCTCAATGCAGCGCACATCCCTAAAGGCTTGGCGATGCACGCTTTTCTCACTTCGCGTGGTCACCGAGGCGTGGCTGGATGATACAACTTTTGTACTCCCTGCTCGCGGAACGTGACGGGTGTACATGGTATTTTACATGAACCAATCAAAACTCAACATTCTTACACGAGGCTGGATAAAATCGTTTGTGCAACCGGGCCGTGAGATAATCCCTTGCCTTTCACCAAACAACAAAGACAGTTTTAACATACCTGGTCCAAGGAACTGACATCCTCGAGCCCGCACGGCTGCCCAGAGGTTGGCTGAGAGCTGGTGGGGGTTCTGGTGTTGTAAGATCAACTCGGTTACTGTGCGCTCCCCTAGTGACCGTGACGCCCGCATAGTCCGGGATCGCCCCTCTTCCTCAATCAGCTGACAATTGACCAGGGACACCAGCTTGCGCTGCATCGGTCGACTAAGGGTACTGCCACTGAGCAGGTGCCCTCCCTTCCCAATATCTTCATCTTCCACAGCACCATCACACTTGAGGTCAGAGGAATCTGCTAGAAATTAAATACAATCACACTCAATTAAAACTTCAATTACCTAAATTTTATTTTCCAAACACCACACATTTTATAATATATGGAATTAAGAGCACATCAGCCAGAGCACTTGGTCATAAACATGGTGTTATTTCTTTACTAACAATCAACAAAGTGCTTCACTTGTTGGGGTCTACATGGAAGTAAATGATGTGTAACATGTGACACCTGCATTAAACTCTTGTTTTAAAGATGAGGAAATGAGATAATGCTGTAGGGATCTTTGATGCCATCAATAATGTATTTGACAAGTTAATCAGGTCAGTTGATTGGCTCTTGAGGTAAAAACAATGTCACTAATGGTTTATGCCATTATGGGCAAACATCTCTCACCTCATGTTGGAAAATCAACAATACAGCAGTGGTGTTTGGCGTTCACATGAATTCTTACAGAAAAAATGCATTGGGAAAGACAGAACATCTCGTAATGGGACTGCCTTGGACAGACTATTCCATTTAGGAATTTGGTGTTTAGCATGCCAATTTTCACATGTAAGAGCAAGCCTATGATTCCAACTTCAAACAATGATACCAGTCACTCAATGATACCAGTCAATGACTTAAGGTAACTGCAACTAATCAATAGTCCGAGAATGGTTAAAAACAACAAATACATAGTAAACTCAGCTCAGCAGACATAGAAATTGAAAAGATGTGACAACACATTCGGGCAAGAAACTTTACCTGATTTCAGATACACAGCAAGATCTTCGATACATTTTTTGGCAGATTCATAGTACCGGAGGTCTTCTGCATTGATGAGACTCTCCTCCCTGTCACGGACCTCCTCTGGGATAGCTGCACCCACTAGCTGTAGTAGTGCATAGTTCACAGGAAACTCATCCACATTGCGAGTGATGGCACTCTGGTCGAAGGGACACTTGCCATGCTGAAGCTTGGCGAGGCAGGTCTTGCAGACTGTGTGACCACAGCCCATACTGATGGGACGGTGCAGCCGCTCATCGAACATGTTGAAACAGACATGGCATGAGAGGAACTCTGTCCATGGTGGGCCTTGTACTGGCATTGTTGCAGTTGAATATTGAGGTCAAAGCTGACCTATATCCTGAAATGCAGAACAGCAAATTCAAAATGTCTGTGGGATGCAGGGTTCAACATTTAAAACAATGCGAGTTTTACGCAACTTATAGAATTGTTCCAGCAATATCACAAAGGGGACAGAAGAAATGGGATTAACACATTTATTCCAAATACATGTTAAGAGACACTCACAGATATTCAAAACAAAGCATGAAACATGTTTATTTTCATAAAGATCATGATGATGCACAATCTAACAAGTGAGATGGGTCATAGTTTAACAGACAATAAACCATTCTAACACTTCACAAAGCCTCCTTAAATGATAACTTTGCGAGTGAGTGAGTTGGGTTTTCTGTCACTTTTAGCAAATTCTAGTTTATCATGACAGGGGAACACCTGAGATACCTTTTTAAAGTGAAAAAAAACCGTATTATCAAAGTTACCTTATCAGTTCTATTTCAGCACATGGCGCAATACATTTGTTTGTATGTTTTGTTTGTTGTTCAACGAGGCACTCAGCAATATTTCAGACAATCAACAGCATGAGCATCGATCTACACAATTGGGATACAATGACATGCGTCAACCAAGTCAGCGAGCCAGACCACCCGATCCCGTAAGTTGCCTTTTACGAGAAACATAGGTTGCTGAGGACCAATTCTAACCCGGATCTTCACGGGTTTTATGCTTGAATAAAAAATCTATAAATACATAAATGTACCATCATATCAAGCTTAGTTTGGTGTAAAATTGTTAAACAGTAAACTTGTGGAATAATTTATTTATGAGAAAAACTGAACTTCTAGTCAAATTTATTCTACAGTGTCACAGTTTATGGGTGTTACGTTTTTCAGCAGCAATAAGCATGATAAGTGAAACTACAAACTTAACCATATCATTCTGATAAATTCTGGCATTTCAATGGTGCTTTCTGATAATCTGAAAAAGTTCATCATTAATATTATCATGGTTTTATGAATATGTAATACATCATGACAGTTGGTCATGTTTAAATACCTTACTCATCATAAACATATCAACTGTTTGATAATGTCAGATGAGTTTGCTGAAACACTATTAAAACTGCTTTTAACATGTTTTACAGTTCATAAGTCTTATCAAACTGTTAAGTACTTAACATGGTAAATAAAACTCAAAATGAACAATTAGTTGAGTAAAATGTCATTGAAACATATATAATTGGCATATATTTGTTGAATTGTCAACATTTACATGTTTAGCTCAAAATTTTACTGAATTTGAAGAAAAGACTTCCATCAGTGTACACAATCAGTGTGCGAAATTTACGCTGGTCAAGTGGTCCCTGGCTAGTAAAAATTCCTCAGGACCACCAAATGATAAGTTTGCAATGGTCCTAGTGGCCAGTGAATTTAGTATTGATAGTTAAGTAAATATACAAGTGTTATTTTGGACCAGTGATTCTGAAGTACAGACAGGACTACTAATTATTGTCCACTCTGGTCCTGTGGTCTAGTGGGAAATTTTGAAAGGTTTCTTTCCCTGCACAATATAAACAGCATTTCCTAGACAACTGTACTGAGTGAGTTCGACAAGTGAGTACTGGAGCCTATAACATGCAAACACTACCGGTACATGGAAAATCTAGGTCAAAATGGCCACACCTGCTATGCCTCACTTAAGATATATATAACAACACATCATACCTCACTTAAGATATATATAACAACACATCATGCAAAGACAGTGCTTGACTTAATTCTACAAAACAGACCTGTTCAACTTGATATTGAAAAAAGGAACATAATCTTTCAAATCTCACAAAGGAATTGAGGGATATTTGATTTGAATAAATATAAGTGGCATGAGTCAGTGTGTGAAACAAGTTTTCAGGATCACTAGCAAACCGGGCTAGGAAGTTTAAAAGTTACTAGCCCGAATGAAAATTTACTAGCCAAACTAAATAAAGATACAAAAGTCTCAAAAGTAGCTATTTATTATTTCTTTCATAAAGTTCAAAGTTAAACATCAACGTTACAAATTGTCAGGACCAGATGATTCAGCACAAGTTTCAGGTTTATAACTATTCAAACAGTGACAGTCCAGTTAAGCACTCTGTCAATCAATCAGACTCAAGGTCTGACTGACCAAAGTTTATGAGATCATCATCACACTCATTATTTGCAAATGATGAAGGATTTTTATTGGTGTTTATTTCTTAACACTGACCTATCACAACGCGTCTTAGAAACGGGTTAGGATTTCAGCTGCGTGTGTAGTTTCACTAATATCAGCTCAGAATTGTCGGCTTGAAAACAAAACAAAAAATACTAAAAGAATTAGGATTTTTAATGAAAAAAGGCCATGAAGAGAATTTTTCACAGACTGAAAATTTACACTAGCAAACCAGGCTACCGTCATTCTATTTTTACTAGCCCGGACACCTTAAACTCAATTAACCCTAATTAGTTTACATTACCGCATCCCTTTGATTCATGCTGCACCGTGTGTAAACATGTGGAAACAACCTCAGTTCAGAGTGATACTTGCCCATGAAACGGGAGGTGAATATCTAGTTGCTTTGTAAATATCGAGTTAAAAGGGTAATTTTGCTTGTTGGGACCATGAAATTGTATCGAGACACCCGTATCGAGTTAAAAGAGCTTGAATAATGATAAATTATGAAGGATTATGCCGGGACCGAGATGTTATATCGAGACAACGGAGATATCGAGTTATCAGAGTTCGACACAACGGTGCTCGACTGTATATTTAACCTGTGGAGGCCCAGCACATTAGTTTACAATTGAAATACAAATGGTCAAGTTGCTTTCTCCTAAAATCTAGTTGCTTGACATGGCCACTTGTTCATAATGAGCTGCATTTGAATATGGCTAATAGCGAGTACCAGTTAGAATTAATTGACAATTCACATATTTTTAGGATCGTCAACATGCACACCATCTAACAGTTCCCACAGGATTACACTTGTCTAAATAGTTTTTGATTTGTGTCAGTTGCACTGACGATAGGGTTAAACGAGTTTAAAAAATGTTCCAGAACTTAATGCTAAGATGAATATTTAACTATATCATTTCCTCGAGAAAAAATTGTACTAGGGCAATGAATTAGTTGACATAATTTGCACATGTAAACAGCCGATACTGTGCGTACTGCTTCTGTTTTCACATGTCGCGATAACATAGAGGGTCCAAGTATAAGATTCGGTATTGTTGGAATATGGCTGAGTGCGGCGTAAACAACAACTGATAGTGATAATTAGCTGGTCAATCCAGTGGTCATTCCTCTCTGGCATGATGACTCCTACAACTCAACTGGACGACTACTTTGTCTGACCATCTTTACAATCATTTCCGATAACATTAGTTTACCGACAGGTTGTCCAATAAACAATATGCACCCTGCGTCCGTTACCAAATAAGTTGGCAAACACGTCAGACCAGTACAAACGCAACACATGATACTTGCCTGCAATCTCATCGTATCGATGAACGAATACTTCCAAACAGTCTCCAAAATGAAGCTGCCTGAAATAAGCATGCGCTAGGAATCCTGAATTTCACGGAAATCAACTCATCCTAGACTTCTAAGTAAAGATTTGACGAGCGCTCTCAGGCACGTCTTTCTTCCGTCGTCAGATTTGGCTATACTTCTGTAGACAGCCAAGAAATGCTTTCGTACATAAACAATGAAGCCAGGGAGAATAGAAAATAGATCATCCCTGATGAAGCTAAACTTCGCAATAAGTTTGGTTTCGGTTTGGTTTGTTGTTTAACGCCGCACTCAGCAATATTCCAGCTAGATTTCTATATGAGGCGGTTTGTAAATAATCGAGTCTGGACCAGACAATCCAGTGATCAACAGCATGAACACCAATCTCTTGGGATACGATGACGTGTGTCAACCATTGACAACCAAGTCAGCGAGTCTGACCACCCGATCCCGTTAATCGCCACTTAGGACAAACCTGGGTTGCTGAAGACCAATTCTAACCCAGATCTTCGCGGGTTCTTCGTAATAGAGGAGTGGCTTAAACAGTATTTCAGATGTACAGACCCGTACAAAAAATATTCGGACACTTGACGTTATTTCCATAGACTTACATGCTATTTCAGTGTACTAGCATAAATAATTTTCATGAAGTGAGTTCAGGATGGATCTTTGTAAAATTTGACAGGCAAATGTGAAATCATTTCTGCTCCGCGCACATAATTTCCGTTAATTTTCCGACCACTATTTAACTAATGACATCACATTTATCAACTTGCGTATGGTTTCACAATGCGCAATCCCATAGGCCGCCATGTTAGAGGGGTTCACGATCTACTGTACATATGTTGTTGTTTTGTTGTTTTTGTTGTTTTTGTTGTTTTGGGGGTTTTTTTTATTGTTCCCAATGTGATGAGTACAAAAACATGATGAGTACAAGCATATAGAGGAATATGTGCACATACAAGCTAGTGGGCTCAAAAGCGATATAGTACACTAAGTACATTGAATATCAATATCAGTGATATGTTTTTGTTTAATAGTCATTCAGGGTTAAATTCAGGGATGAGAGGAAACCATTTGACTAAAAAAGCTTTCAACATTATTATTTCTCCTGGAGATGAATGATTCAGTGGTAAATATGTCTTTCACTATCCTTAAGTAATTATCAACTATTGGAATTGTTTTTGTCAAAGAGCAAGTGTAAATATATCTCTTAGCAGATAAGATTATGTGGTTCAATAATGGGTTCTTACCTAAAAGCCAAACCAGATCAAAGATTTTGTCAAATTAGTGTTTGGATACGTTTCGTAATCCACTGTTCAAGTTTCTTCCAGAAAGTTTTGGTTTCATCACATTCCCAATATACATGGCATAAAGTTTCAACAGAATCATTACACAAAGAACATATTGTATTGTCCACCAGATTCATTCTAAGAAGTTCTTTTTTGGTATAAACAATTCCGTGCAAAAATTTATATTGAAAATCTAACAGTTTCACATCTCTTAAATTCTTTCTACAAGTATGAAAAATCAAATGCCAATCAATATCAATACAGTCAAATAATGTTTCCCATGTTTGGCACATGTGAGGTTTAACATTTTCAGATAACAATTTATCATAGAATAATCTTGAACCTTTTCTTGGGGATATGAAATCCTTTTGGAGTGAATTTATTGTGAGGTCATTAATGTTTATATATCTATATTCCTTTAAAGTCTTTTTCCAAGGTTCAGGTAAAATATATATAACATATCCAAGATCTAAGTGAGTACCTTTTATATCAAATATAAGCTTCAATTGATCAAAGGATATAAACCCATGTTCATCACAAAGATCTTTGATCGTCAAGATTCCACTTTTAGCCCAGTGACTAATGATGTGATTTGAGTTTTTGAAATCGTCAGCAACAAAAATAAATATATATGGAAATATGGGATCCCTTGCCTGCGTACCCCGTTGATTTTGGAAGATGAGGTGAGGTGAAATTGGGTTTAACGTCGTGCTTGAGAATATTTCGCTCATGTGACGACGTGCATGCGTGTGTATGTGTATGTGCGGCTGCTTGTACTAGCCCAGACTGAAGCTGGTTTTATAGTGCTAGCCCACTGAGATACCACGCCGCAGTGAAGCATGGATACCCCACTCAGACACATTATACTGACTCCGAGCCGACCAGTCCTTGTACCCATTAATGCCGAGCGCCAGGCATAATTTAACGTCTATTGGTATGACACGGTCGGGGATCGAACCCGCCACCTTCCGCTCTCCGGGCGGACGCTCTAACCACTACACCACGGAGGCGGTGATTTTGGAAGAAATCAGAGAGATGCCCATTCTGAATAACACATGAAGTTGTGTCATACGTTAAGACGTTAATCCAACATATAATCTTTGGACCAAAACCAAATTTTATTAGGACAGAATTGATAAAATCCTTAGAAACTGTGTCAAATGCTTTTTCGAAATCGATCAAAATTAATAAACCTGACATGTCTCTTTTCCTAGTTTCAAACATAATGTCATATAATAGTCTTGTGTTTTCACTTAATGTTCTGCCAGGTATAAATCCAGTCTGGTTGTTATGTATCAGGGAATCAAGGGTAGTTTTAACCGATTTGAGATACATGCGCTTATTAATTTATACGGAGCATTTAATAAAGTAATTGGTCTCCAGTTCTTCAATAAGTTCCTATTATTATTAGCTTTAGGTATACAAGTGATAACTCCTCTCTTCATGGTAAGAGACATCTTATTTCGTTTTGATACATCTTTGATAGATCTGAAAATCCAGATCTTTGGTTCTTTCCAGAAGAATTTAAAGAAAATCAATTGGAAATCCATCTATACCTGGGCTTTGTTATTTTTCATACTTTTTAATGCCAATGATATTTCCTTTATGTCTAATTCTTTTTCCAAGTTGTCTCTCTGTTGGTGACTCAAGGTTGGAGTTTTCTAAACAGGCATCATCCCCATAGTTCTCAGCAGAAGAATACAGTCTTTTTATAGAACTCTTTAAGTTCATTTAAGATTGCATCGCTGTCAGTAATTTCGTCATTCTTTTCTGTAATAATTTTATTAATTGATTTGCTGACATAATTCCTATTTTCTAAGTGACAGAAATATTTTGTTGGTTTTTCCCCTTCTTCATACAATAGAATTCTGTTTCTGAGTTGAACTCCTCGTATCCCTTCTTCCTTAATTTGTTGTAATTCTGATTTTGATTTAGAAAGTTCAGATATTAAGGCTTCATCTACGTTTTGGAAATCTTTTCTAATAGTATGTTCACAGTCTTTATTTTAGTTTCTAACTCATTTGTTCTGTCCTTTGTTTTCTTTTTTTTTGTAACAACTCTAAATTGTCTTCTTATTCAACTTATAAATCTGTCTTAAATGTCGAAATATATTTAACACACATAAATGTAATGGATATACAGACAAGCTTTATCAAGATTTAGATGCGGATGTCACAACCTAATGATTGAATTAGGCCGAAGAATCGGAATGGATGAAAGAATTAAGAATATGCTCTCACTGCAGCCGATATGGAATCCATCAAATTGAAAACGAGTATCATTTTTTATTAATCTGCAAAGCCTTCACCCAACCCAGAAACTCCTATATTCACTCGATGTATCACACAACCATCCCTCAGTTACAACATTTGCTAATCTAATGAACACCAAATGTCCTAAAACACTGTTAAATTTAAGTAAATATGTATTCATTGCCTTTAAATTATATCCTTATCTTCACCAATAATCTACATGCTGTTTGTTTAATCTACTGCTATACTCTCTCATATTGTACGCTTCTATTCTTGTAATTTAAACTATTTTGTATATATCCTGTATATATTACAAATGTATATTTATTGTATATATTGCAAATGTATGTCATTTGGGCCAGTGGCCTTTGACTTGAATAAACATCATAAGATAGGGTGAAAAATATATTGATTTACCTCGAACATTCATCAGAAATGTTTCTAAGAATAAGCTGTCATCTATCTTAAGTCATTCACATTCTCAACATAAGAGTCAATATCTGGGTATTCTTTGGTCGTCTCCTTTAAGATTGATCTGACTAAATCAGCATAATCGGGATTTAAGAGTAAAGAAGTATTGAATTTCCAGTAATCCCTCCCTCTTTTTTGATTAATAGTGTTTGAGAAAGTAAAACTAATAGCTGAATGGTCTGTTTTATAGCCAGGTATGATGTCAGAACCCAGTGAAAGATTAAACATGTCCTGCGAAATTAAATAGAAATCCAATCTTGCTTGCTGTCTATAGTTGTTTTTTTCCACCATGCATATTTTCTTAAATCAGGATTTAGTTCCCGCCAGATATCAATAAGATCTAAGGATTCAATTTTGTCTAAAACTATATCTCTGGCCTTGGGGTTGTTAATATTTTTGTAATTTTCCAAATCTTTGGAAGGATCGAGAACCAGATTCCAGTCACCAACAATAGCTACGGATTCATTATCGAAATTACAGTACATACTGTACATATTTTGCCATTCGATAAATAAGCAACGGAATATTAAACAGAATGTATGTGATTATAGGTAAGATGGTTCCTCACAAATGAGCTAAATTTGACTTGGATCTTACGAAAATTAAATTCATGAAAATTATTTTAGGCTACACTAGATTAACATGTAAATATATGGAAATAACGTCAAGTGTCCTGAATACGTTTTGTACGACTCTGAGAAAAAGCAACGACGTTTACTTTTGCGTCGGTCCACCAGCAACAAAGTGCTCAAATACTTTTGATCCGAGCCCACCCTAAAATCTATTTTCAACTGAATACTTTGCCAGTTTGACTCCAACACCCGCAAACCATAAATCAGTTGTCCCAAGAGGCGATTAACGGGATCGGGTGGTCAGGCTGGCTGACTTGGTTGTCAATGGTTGACACACGTCATCGTATCCCAAGAGATTGATGCTCATGCTGTTTATATCACTGGATTGTCTATAACTGTAGTTTGATTTGAGAGGAAGGCCGAAGTGATACAGGTCTTGGACATTTTCCTCTTAATGGAACACACGAGTTGCTGACAACAATCTGTTCACGATTTTATTGTACAAAGTAAAAATTAGTACATTAGGGAATACATATTGGAAAACTATTGAAATTGAGGTA